AACATAATCCTTTAATAACAGCATTTCTTGGTCTGAATGAATTTATAAGGCTGTACCAAACTCTTCGCTACTGTAGTAACTTCTTGATCGGTATGATATACACTTCGGGCAACTTTGTTAAATAATTCATGAATGAGATCGGGAATTACAATTTTTACCCTTTCCTTCTTTAAGGTCAGTCATCGCTTCAAATTTCCACCGTTTCGAAATTCTTAGTCTCTTAGTCGCCGTTGCACTGGTTTGTTTTGTTTATCGGCTTCTTTGATCGATAGTTGTAATTTCGTCGTTGTTTTGGTTTTAGTTGTAACTCGCTTCTTCTCTGAGTTTTCCAAAAAATTAAAGTCTGCTGATAAAATTTAGTTGGACAAAGAAAGTTTAAGAACTTTAATTTTGTGGCAGAAACAGGCCCTCGTAAAAATACTGAGACACAACCGCGAAGAGCACATTCGCACATTTTGCCAACATGCATTCTTTCTTTAAATTTAACCTTCACCCGCCTTTCTATTTCGCTCCAATGGAAGCAAAAAAGGCGTTTCAGCACAATGTTTTTCTTCGGGGCCGGGATAGCCTGGTTGTTAGGGCACTGGACCAACTTACAATAGGTTGTGGGTTAGATCCCAGCCGACCGAAGACTTCCCGTGTAGTAAATGGTGGTTGATGCACTCTAAATCTGTCGAGCCTCAAAGTCCTCCATGTTCTTATGACAAATAATACTTCTGGGGTACTGATCCAGGAGTTTCCTTGTCTTCTCGATTGGTTCAAAATTACAAGGCTACGGAGTTCAACATTAGTAGTCGTAAACCCAAAATTGGGTTGGCTGTTTAACGATGGTTATAAAAAATATATATTTCTCTTCTCATGCCGGGCGGATCACAATTTTTTTTCTTCACATGGATTTCATAGAGGGACACAACTTTCCCCACGCTTAGCTTTTTTTCGTCGTCAAATCCTGCTGAGCCTCCAATAATAGCGGTTGAAATTCTTCAATAACGGACTACGATATTCCCTTGCTTTACCTGATTCATCCTGCCCGCGGAAACGGCCATTTTGTTGATTTCTCTTGAGGATCTGATGATCCAAATGACCTCACCTCCACCGAGATGGTGCAAAAGAAAAATCACTGATACCACCAACATTAATAAAAATTTTCTTCTGCCGGATTGTTCCGGACTTGATTTTTTTTTCTTTAATATTCTGCAGTGTCTTCGGCACAGGTTGTATTTTTTTGTATTTTCTTTGTTGATTTCTTTAAAAGAAACTACTGGGATACCTTTAATGTATGTGTTTTTACGAAAAAATGCCAACGCACAACCATTTGGATCAACATGTCCCAAATGTATGTATTGATTAACCAGTTTTTTTTTTCTTTAAAGTGTCAAGTGTTCTGTTTTACATTTTTTCAATAAAATTTTCATTAACCATATTTTTTATTTATTGACAACTAAAATTAATCAATAATAATAATTGTTGAAATTATTCATTTTTCTTATTTTTTTACATGTGACACACAATTTTTTAAACTAATTAATTAATATTTTTTTATGATAATCATTACCCTATTTCATCTTTTCTTCTTTATATCACACCACTTGAAGATCGAGGTAAATGACCCAAGATGTCTAGTGTGATACGCTCAAATGGAGCTCCTACATTATAACGATGCAATTGGTCACCGCTACGTTTCTTCGGCCCTTTCAAAGCCGCACAGCCATCACAAGATCGACACCACTTCTCTATAACGTCTTCTGACTTGTTCCAGTAGAAGCACTCGCAAACCTTCTTTAGAGTCTTAATTACCCCTAAGTGGCCTTCAGTTTAACAACCATGCAGTTTTCTCAAGACGTCCGCAATTCTTGACTAGGAAAGGACAAGCAGCAATTTCAAACTCCGCCCGTCATCAGTTCCCCATACTCTGTATAACACGCTATTTCTAATATAAATTGAGCCCTATAGAGCCCAATTCTGTTTAGTAGCTATGCTGTAGGTGGAAATCACCTGCCCACCTGGTTTTATATTCGAAGATTCCTTTATTACAAGGAAAGGTCTTATATCAGAATCTTACAATCGGGCTAGCCTTTCCCTTTCATCACTCCATGGATCTGGTTTCGATGTAGCTGAAATCATAACTTGAAGTAACACAGAATTTGCTGGCTGATATTTCTTCTCTATTCAAGAGAATATCGGTAGCATTCATTGTGGGGCTTCCTCGATTATGCGCCAGCATTTTCATGTGAAGTACCCTAGCGATGACGAATCTCGAAGCAATATTACTGGAGTCGTTGTATCCACCTGGCAGCCTGACCTTTCGTGTTATTAATATTCAAAAGTCAGGTTATTAAAGAGGCATGATCAATCAAGAGCAAGAATTTTCTTTCGTAGACATAATGATGGAAATTTTCTACGGGTTCAACTATAACGAGCAGTTCTCTTCTAGTTTTATAGTCCCGCAGTGGACTGATCGTTAAGACACGGTTCTCAGCAGATCACCGAAGTCAAGCATCACTGGATACGGTAAGTGTGCGGGTGGGTGACCACTTGGATCAGTCTGCGTAGGGACCGAGGGTGTGCGGTATTGGTCCTCGTTAAACTGTGCTACCGTAAAGTGCTAGACTTCGCGCGCGGGTCGTCGGGCTACCGAAGCAGGGGTGCCATCACCTCCGCAGAGGATCAAAATTGTGATGGCATGTCTTCGGATCATCCTCCGGGATGTTTCCCAGACCGTCGCCAATAGCCCATTGTGCAGCTCTAGTGCGACGTAAATTAACAACAACAACAACTTCTAGTTTTATAATAATTTTGCCACAGTTTTGATAGACATTTACTCCAGTAAGCGATGACGTGTTCTTGGCCGTTGATTTCCTGCAACAAAGCAGCTCTAACACTTAAACTGCTGGCATTAGTGTCCAAAATAAATGGTTTGTCAGGATGGGGATAGGCAAGTATAAGCGAAGGATGTTAATACCTTCTTCAATTCTATCGAAGAATTTTCAGAAAATTTTGAACACGGGAATTGAGTAGCCTTTGATAGCTTGTGGAGTGGTCTGGCAATCGTCGAGAAATCTTTACAAATTTCCTGTTGTAGGTGCAAAGCCCAAAAAAACTTCGCATTTGATGGACACCTGCTGGGCGACTCCAGTTTTCAACAGCAGAAATCTTTTTAGGATCCGTTCTTACACCTTCTGCAGAGATAATGTGTCAAAGATACACGGCCTATCACTTACATTTAGATGGATTCCACATAAGATTAGACATTTTTTATTTTCCCAGCAGCTTTCGAATGTTTCGTAAATGTTCTTCAAAGGCGCGCCCTTCATGATATCGTTCAAGAAAACAAGACAGGATTCGTAAGAGAGTTCTCTTAGCATAGTCTTCCTCAGGTGCTCAAATGCTGGGGGTGTGTTACGAAGTCCTTGTCTTATGGTGAAGGCAGTCTTTTCAGAGACATTAGGGTGTATCACGACCTGTCAGTAACCACTTTTAAGTTCCAAAGTCAAGAACAATTTATTCCTGGCTAGAGTGTCCATAACATATCATCAATCCTGAAAAGGGAGCAGCTATCTTTTTGTTGTCATTCAGTCGACGATAGTTGACACAAAATCATGATGATCTTTCTTCTCAATTAGGACAATAGGAGAAGCCCAAGGACTCATTGATACGTAAGTTTAGCCATCTCCTCCTATTTAGTAAAGCAGAACTTAACAATGACCCGCCCCTAAGGGGGGCATCCAGGAAATACCGATGAACCGGGGTTGCGGAAATACCTAGAATCATTACGGTGGAACCAGCGACGCATGGACATTACGCTCCCTCACTACTACTCATGATGGATCTTCTTACTTAAAGCTCAGAAAAAAGCTCTTTAATGTTTTATTTAGCACTTTAGGCAGCACAATATCGCTGCCTTCTGTTTACCGCCTTCTCTGTCTGCATTGGCTGGTATTCGCCCTTGTACCACGTTGAGGTGCAGAGTAGGTTGATGTTTGCTGTAAGTCATGTTAATTGGTAGACCTTTTAAGAATTCGACTCAGGGAATAGACTCTAGGCCCTTGTTCCATCGCGAGTATCCATTCTCGAATTACTTTTAATAGTACGTTCAAATTCTAAAGATAACGAGGGTCCTGTTTAGTAAATGGTTAACTCCGAGGATGTCTGATGGGAGTTTGATTTCCAATATCAATTTGGTGCTACGTTATTTTTGTAAGTCCAACATATTCCGGTGTTCAGGAAAAAGGGTCTTTAAATTCAGGTAATAATTTTTCTGCAGCACTCTTTTGTCCTTCTACTCTGCACTCCGAAGAAGTTTACACATGAAAAATCCAGAAGACTCGTTTGATAGCTTTGGTCAATACTGGAGTACAAGTCGCCAATAATTCACCTTCCCTTAGAACTTTCACTCTATCCCTAACTTTAGCAAACCTCACAGGTATTTTAATCCTAAAAAGGTCAACGAGTGAAGAAGCCATCAGTACTCCTTTAAAGTTGTCCATATCAGGATATCCTATTAAGCCATATCGGAAATTAATAGGTTCAGAAAAGATTCCCCAAACTATTACCTCAGTTTCTGGTGGAACTTTAGTTTTGTTCTTATCTTTTACTTGATAGGCCTGTTTAATCTCTGAATTTCTAGTCTTAAGCACGGCGATGTCTTCCGAATCTAAGCGCAATTCGTTGTTTTTGAACAGGGTTGCCACTCAAATCTGGAAAAAAAATTCCCTGTGTTTTCCCTGTAGATATTATACGCAATATATTAAGTAGAAACAACAATTACTGTGCTCATGTGTGAGCCATATTGGGCTAACTATATTTATTAGTTTTAATGCTGGAAACAAGCACGACATACTTAAATAATACTATCGCTGAAATATCTTCCCCAAATATCCCATAGATTACGCTTCGAATGGTCCCCATTTTTCAAAAGACAAAAATTAGAAACAAAATTCCCCGTATTTTCCCAGTTTGTAAAGAAAAAAATCAAAATTCTCTGCATTTTCCCTGTTGTGTTAGGTAATTTTTAAACTCCCTGTATTTTCCAGGTTTTCCCTGCGGAGTGTGCAACCCTGTTGAAGTCCTGTTTAAAGTTATTTGCTTGTAAAACGTCTAATCCGGGAATGAAATCATCACTAATATCAGCCACATGATGGTAATTGGCATCACCAAATGTAATCTTAAGTTGGACCTTTTTTGTGAACGTTGATTTTGGCACCAGTCACAGTCTGTAGTGTAATGTGGGACAGAGTCAAAATTAAATGTTCGCCTAACTTATGAACTAAATCTGTTCTCAGAGACGTTGGTTTCGGTATCGATTACCATGCGGCTTGGAAGTCCACTGTCGCCACCAATCAGTGAAGAAATCTGCAACAGTTTGACTCGGGGCTTCATAATTTCTGGACACCGCCACTCCGCGAGATGTCACAAATTAGTTTTCCTGTTGAGGTGGAGTGTTACCTCCATTAGTTTTAAGTATCGGGCTGTTTGTACATACACGCCCTCCCTTAACTCCAACATTGAATCACTTTTCATCCTGCTTTCTCTGAAACTGCGCATTTCTCGCAGGATACTTTCCATAATTTTCTTACGGTCAGAGTTCGAATCTGTGGCTGATACTGCTCTGATACATCCCTTCCATGAGACTTGCAGAGCTGCCTCAATCTTCTGTGTATAGACAAGAGCGGATTTTATATCCTTCAGATCGGTGAGTCTAACAGCCATTTGTGGCTCTAGATCCCGCAATCTGTCTATGAAGTGTTGGAGAACTAAATCTTGACGTACTTCAGGCCTGTCCGAAAATGCAAGATGTGACAATCGTTGAATATCAGTAATCAATTCTTCGGGACTTTCCCTTGCTCCCTGATAGCGGAACTTCAGTTGCAGTCGGCTGCGTTCTCCAGAACATTTTTCACCAAATCGTAGCTCCAAGGAATGTAAAAGAACATTAAAATCATAGCGTTGTTCTTCGGTAAGAGTTTCCAAGATGTCCGCCGCAGCTCCTTGTAAAGCAGCCTAAGAAAAAAGGCTTTGGCCCTCTAGTACCATCCGCTAGCATCAGCGACGATGAAGAAATGAGTTTCGTACACCTGCCAAGAATGATTTTCCATCGAAAGTAGGAAGTTTAATAGCAGTTGGAGATGCATCGCTTAGAAGCATTAATTTATTTTCTAAAGTAACTGGCTCGGATTTAAGTCTCTTTTCCAGGAATTTAATTTTAAAATCCGATTTCCCATCAAATTTTATCCACTACCTCAATTGAATTCACTCTGCTTTTTAATTTTTCTTGGAGGACTGCCTTTACGCTGGATATTTCGTTCTTAAATTCTTCCTGGTTAACGTCCAACTAGGCCTCCATCTTCTCTTGACTGGCTTTCATCTGTTCTTCCATCTTCTGCAGCATCTCCACCAACTTATCCACAGCCATTGCTCTTGTAATAGGAATTCACTCCAAACCCACTTCTGACCCCCAAAATGTACCGAGCACAGGGTCCGTTTCGATTGGAGTTGAATGAAACATTCTTGAAGACAATAAAAATTTATTATCAGAAATTTGAATAATCAAAGATTTCCTAAAAATTTATATCTAGAAAATACAGCAATTTCCAGCACTCAATAATAGCACAAACATCAGTGCAACACACAAACAGGGTTCCCACGACTTGGAAAAAATAAATGAGTGGTAGCTAAGATTTTTCAAGGCTACTGAAAAAAAACTTAAATCTAGCTTTCATATCAGAATTACGAAATTATTCCAGAGGTATTTTTTTGCACCAGAATTTATTTTCCTTAAAATAAAAATTTATTGAAAGTTTAAAACATCCAAGATTTTCACGCTTTTGCCACATTAATAAATTTTCCAAACCGTGGGAACCCTGACAAAATACAGGCTTGACAATCTTAGACGGGTCAATGAACTCACCAGAGACTCGAAGATCAGAATAATATTGCAGTCACTAACAGACTAATGCTCCCATTAATATAGGCTTGGTCAAACTATTATTTTGCCACCATGCCGAATTTTCCATAAGAAATGCATTAGACATCATTTTCTCTCTAGAATTGTGCGATTTTATAGCAAATTTTCTGACTAAACTGTAAATTGGAAGTCCGTCTGTGATATTTAGCCACATAATAAAAGAATATTCACGAAATTATACACGTATATACAAATTCGTAACAATATTAACAAGAACTTAGTCTCACTGATTTAGCTCCAGATGTTGCTGTTGTTAATTTACGTCGCACTAGAGCTGCACAATGGGCTATTAGCGACGGTCTGGGAAACATCCCGGAGGATGATCCGAAGACATGCCATCACAATTTTGATCCTCTGCGGAGGGGATGGCACCCACACTTCGGTAGCCCGACGACCTGCGCGCGAAGTCGAGCACTTTACGGTAGCACAGTTTAACGAGGACCAATACCTCATACCCTCGGTCCCTACGCAGACTGATCCAAGTGGTCACCCACCCGCACTCTGACCGTAGCCTGTGATGCTTGACTTCGGTGATCTTCTGGGAACCGTGTCTTAACGATCAGTCCACTGCGGGACGATTTAGCTCCAGATTCTATCGGGAAAAAACTTCAACCTAACTATAAATTAAGGATAAAGAAATATTTTACAATTAAATAAAGCCTTAATAAATCAACCAAAGAAATTAGATATTGATTCGAAGAAACTGGATGGGTTTATGTGATTTCTGATTTGTCTGTCCAATAAGAGTACACAGATCGGTCATCACTAAAGCCCGGAATTTTAGGCAATAAAAAATGCAAAAATAGGCAGGCAAAAAGGCATTTAAAAAGCTTGAAATAGGCACTTAAAATTGGAGCAAAATGGTAGTTGGTAATGCCTAAAAGCCCGTATAGGTTTCCAAGGTATAAAAAAAGTTGCCAGAAGTATCCGGTATACCTACATATTCATTTTACTCGACTGTCGTAGCAATAGTACAAACGAAGTAAACATAATTGCACAAAAAAAACCTCAACTGCGTAAGTGTGAAATATAAATTGAAAACTCATACTTACAATAATATTGTATGCAGATTTATTCTGATGATTGGTTGTTGTTGCACATCACAACTAGATGCTTTTTCAAATTTTCGAAAGAGAAATTTTGTCTCCTGTCAGTCAATATAGTTTTAAACAAAGAGAAGGATCTTTCTACTTCGACAGAAGTTATGGGCGCGTACCTAAAACAACTTGCCATGGTAGGAGATATGGTAAGTTCAACTGTAGTATCACCAGAAAGTACTTTTGCAATGTCCTTGATGCATTCAAAGTCTGTATTTGCAGAGATGACGTTTTCACATTTCTTCCTTATTATGTCACCAGATGGTCCAGGCACAGACATTAGTTCTTCAATAGTATTGTCGAAAATCTTTAGTGACTCGGACAAAGACATATTTCTTTTTTCCTTGTGCTCAATAGCTCCAGGGAGCTTCCCAAAATAAATAAAAGTCAGTTCATTTTTTTTACTTTTTCTTATGGATATTGCCTCTTCATCCGGAAAGCTGGTAAGGACTCGAGTTACTGCCTCAAAATTTGAGCAGTAGTATGAGACTGCTGAAATCCATGTTCCCCATCTCGTAAGGATCGGTTTAGGAGGCAATTAAATGTCTGGTGCAATTTGTTTGAACACTTGAAGGGGCTTTCATAAATACTTTTTTCACACTAAAAACAAGCAAGTCTACCTCAGGATTACTTCCTCTGCTATCCTGTGCAATGCATGAGCAAGGCACGTTAGATGGATCATATTGGGAAATAAAACTTTTAAGCATTTCCAGCTTTTATCATGTAGGTGGCTGCATCTGTAAGAAATAATAGCACTCTTTCATGCTCAGTACCATTTGGCCAAAGTAAAGCCAGTGCATTAGTGAACAATTGTAGTACTGTTAGTCTTTTGCAACTGTTCAGATGTCAACAAAAAGATTTTATGTTTTTCAAATGGGTCCATAACACCAATAATAACATTCGTAACATATCGTCCAGTTACATCTGTCGTTTCATCTATAGATAGCCATTTGTTTTTCGTTCGGATTTCATTTTGAATAGTTTCAAGAACTTCGGTGTAACAGTCATCTAAATAAGTTTTCCTTAAAGTTGATTCACAGGGCACACTTTGATTCATATATTTTTGCAAAAAAGCTCGTATGCTTTTAATTTTCAAGTTTCCACAGCAGAATGCCGGCATCCACAAATGATCTGCATAAATCCATTGGAAATTCCGATTTGCGAGAAGATAACTAAAAGATGAATATCCATTCATGATGAACAGCTCAGATGAATAGCCATTGTACTGCACAAGGGGTGACCACTGCCTCAGAGGGAGGGAGTTGTCTAATCTCTATAAATGCATTACAATACGTCGGATGACAGTCAAGAATTTCTGTACTTCAAAATTTCTTCATTTTACGTTTATACTCGGTCAAAAGCACAAAAAGGTTTGCAGAAAAATTTTAAATTAGACAGAAATAGGCATTTATGAACAAAAGGAAAGAAAAAGGCATTTTCAGAAGAAAACGTTTAAAAAAGGCAGAAAAGGGCATTTATGGCATTTTACCTGAACTTCCGGCCTCTAGTCATCACTCATCTGATTTTTAGGTACATAAATTAATAAAAAAAATAATAATTTGTTGTGACTATTCTTAGGTTATATTTAATTTATTTATTATATTTCTCTCTCTCTCTTTTTTTTGTTTGAAGCAAATTTATAACTTCTAATTTTTCTGGACTTTTTTTTAAAATTTATATCAATACACTTTTATGGAAAAAAAACTAAAAAAACCATTTTACAACATTAATTTGAAAAAGGAAGATTTGATAACTAATCTTAAACATAATTCCTACAGAAATTATGAATTTGGTGTTTAACTGTCCTAACCTTTCAAGACTACAATCTCTGCAGGAAAATGCATTCATTTATACACAAATAAAATTTTTAAAAAATACATGCTGACAATGCAACTTAGATTGCCAACTAAGATAATAAAAAATAAACCAAACTTTCATGAAAAAGTTTATTACTATGTACAATGCCTTTAAAGAATATGTCACATTTGCAAAAATAAGACATATGATCACATTTTTCGTAGCTACCAAACTCCAAAATATTCAAATTTCATAAAACTTTATAACTTATTTTACAGAGAACAAAAAATTAAACATTACACAGATTAAGCTAAGACACCTATAAGTTACTTATACATAATTACAGAGTAAAGCTTAAATAGCAATTTTTAACATAAGTAAAACTTTATATTTTTTAAGAAAATGCTTCTAAATCACTAACTATTTAAAATAACTAAACATAATTAATAATCGAAGTGCTTTTATTTAAATTGCTAATTATGATTGAAAGGAACTATCTATAAAATGAGTTCAATAAGACTTTTGAAATTTCATAATTCAATTGATGGTATAGTTTTTAATTAGCCCATTACATTTTCCTTGGAAGTTTTTAGTGAAATTGGTCAATGCAAGTAAAAAATAGGTACAATACTGTATAAAAGTACTAAGTTATATTTATTGATTAAAATCAAAGAATAATTGAATGGAAAAGATGAGTGCAATTGTTTCAGCTTCCTGAATATAATTCTTTCAATTTCCAAGTTATTTTACTAAAAACTAATTTATTTACCATTAATTTTACTAAAAATGGACGAAAAAGTAAGAATTACACAAGAAACAGTGGATCATTTTTTCCTTGCTATTTCTTATTATTTAATTTGATAACTTATCTTTGCTTATGTATTATCTCATGCAAAGTTTTTTACAAGAAACATATACTTGTTTAAAAAAAAAATCAAAATCTTTATAGAAGTTATTTCCCACTTTACACAACATTATATGGATGCATTTATGTTTGTTTTTGATTTTTAATTATCTTCTTCAAAACACAATACCTTCACTAAACAAAGGATTTGCATCTATTTCAAAACGTCAGTACAATACACATTTTGAAAAGATGAATATGGTCAAAATAATGTTTTGTTATTTGCATATTCCACTTTCGAAGGGAAATTTTTTTTTCTTAAAAAAAACTCAAATATCTTTAAAAAAACACAATTAACTTCTTTAAAAAAAACTCAAATAATCTAATACATAAATTTAAAAAATAATCTTGCAATTAAAAAGAAATATATCACAACTATTCCTTAACCGGTTCAGTGTTGCACCCACTTTTGGAGAATGAACTGAAAGTGTTACCTCTTCCAAATAAGAAAGTTCGTCTGTAAGCACAACTCACTCTTCCTTGCAGACTAGAATGAACCATGTCGATTCATAACATTTTTAGTCATATGGGTAAAGAATAGTGCGGCCATGGCACTAGATTGTGTGACCAGATCTAGTCTATTCATGACATTGTATTAGTGATATTAAATCATGAATATTTCAATAATCTGTATTTTGGTTGCTTATTGCCTAAATGAAAAAAGAATCACAATTCCACAGACATAAAAGTTGTAAAATTCATCCAAAATTTCGTCCTTTTTATTTATTGCTAAAGCAATTAAAACTGAACTATACGATCACTCTGTGACAATATATATTACTATCATTTTATTACCATTTGGAAGAAACAAATTCAGCCTTCTTTCTAGAGCTCTATAACCTTTAATTTATAGATATTATTTTAATGTTAAAGAGTTTCATAGTTAACTCTGAATGTTGAAGAATTTATTGAAACACAAGCTGAATCATTTTAGTTGTATGATCATATTAAATAATCACCATACATATGTATGTGTGTGTATGTATGTATCACTAATTTAATAAGCATTTGCTGAATCTCTTTGTGAACAGGTGATTAAATTTTTGAAAGAATAAAATTTTTACCACTATTTGCACAAAGATATAACTTTATTGGCAAAACTACCAACATTTGTACCGACTTTGATATTAATACTACACTGCACTGCTTTTTCTTTTAAAAAATAAATATATAAAAAAAAAATTTCAATGTGTGTTTTTTAAATTTACCTTGAGAAATGTTACACATTTTATTCTCCTGAAAAAGACATTTCACCATATAATTTAAAAAGCAATGTCAACTGCTATTTGTATATTCATGTATATATTTAATATACATAAATATAGAAATTATCGTACATTATTTATATATGAGGGTCAACAAACTCCAGGAACCACTCACCATGGAACCTAAAAAAAAAATAACTGGTGCCTAATATTTTGGTAAATTTTAAAATAAAAGCAAAAAGCGGCTAAGGTACTTTCCATACCATAACATACTGGCTCTTAAAAATTGTCTTTAAAAATTTTGCATTATAGTAGACTATATTAATATTATATAGCATATTCAAAATCCAACATACATTTGTGATGAGAAAATGAAGGTATGGAAACTGATACATCACAGTGTAGTATAGGGTTAATAAGCTGTGGTACGCTACTTTAATTTATGATCAATAACACCTCATTTATAGAAATATTTCCAAAATATTAAAAAAAATTTAAATTAAAGAATATACGAATAAAACAAAAATTCTTAATATCTAATATTTATATATATAACAAATAACAGAAAGACACAGGCATTAACTACAGCACACAGATATTAGAGATACAAAGCATATGTACACTAGAAAATATTCTTTACAAAAGAAACATGAATACAAAAATGCAATTCTATACATGAATTGCAAGTTTGTCAGGAACATACAATGTACCTTTATAATTATCAAATGCTACTTCATTGGATGTGTGAAAAATATATGCCTTGCACTTTTATTTTAATCAATATTATTCTCAGTATATATACATGTTTTGCAAATTAACTTATATAAATGGTTACTAAAACTTGTTTTTATCAGTGTAACAAGAAAAATGGTAAGAAACAATATCAAAATTAATATGTCCTAGATAAAAAAATTGTTTAAATATACGGTTTTAAAATAATTAAAGCTCAAGATTTAGTAAGTATATTAAGGGATTATGAACCAGAAAAGAAAATTCCATACGATATTAACACAGTCTATGCTCTAAAGTAAGACTCCTTCCCCGTTACAATGATCGATAAAGTCCTGTTTGCTTTTTCATAGATACTATTTTCATACCCATTATAACATTCGAACTGACATATACATTCCAATATAGCGACCAAAATTTTTTTCCTATTTCAAAATTATCACCTCAATTACCATCTTATTATCATGGTCCCCAAAATCGACATTGAAAATTTTTTTGCTTTCTAATGAAACATTTTTTTTTAATTTTTACAATTAATAGCAAAAGACTCCAGGAAATGATTCAAACCACTATTTCCTTTTATGTTATTGCTCATCAATACAGGCGAAACATCTTGAATTTTCTAACACAGAAAAAAAGACAGGATCACTAGCTCTTATCTTAAATGGTCCTAGGCATTATCCATGGTTAAAAAAAAAAACAGTGAAATATCGATTTCGTTCATTATTAAAAAATAGAAGTGTGTTTTGAATCCTTGACAGAGAATTGAAGTGTTTTATATGCATTCATAACATTTCCAAGTTTCTTTTTAAAAGTTTCAACAGATTCATTAATCATATTTTTCTTGTCCGAAAACTGTCTTTATTTTTTTCGTGATTTGCTGTAATAGGCAGTTTATTTAGGAGATGAAACACAATGTATTTGCCTTTTAGAGTAACCTTTCAATTCTCTTGGAGTATGTTATTTAGTAAAAATTGCTGCTGGCAATCCGCATAATGCCATATGCTTAGAATAGACTTTTAAAATTTTGAAGAAAGTATTTTGATTAGATTAGTAAAGGATTTTATCAAAATAAGCCCAGTATTAATGATAAATATTTTCTGTAGTTTTGAGTACTCACATTATGGTGCCCTCACAATATAACATCCGTATTTATTAGAACCACAGGAGTCGTTACATAAAACTTGGACTGTATAAGCAAATTTACATTCTAATAGAGTATTCAACAATATGGTCTAGTAATTGTACAAAAATATTTAAAATTTTGAAAATAAATTAATTAAAAACAACGTATCCCAACCTTATTTTCAAATGGCACTTCTAAAGAAAATTTAAATATTTACCGTAGAAAACAAGTTTTTTAATGAAATAAAGCAGAAAACACAGACAGAAAGAATACATTTAAATTAATATATATATATATATANTATAGCTATATATATATATATTAATTTAAATGTATTCTTTCTGTAGGTGTTTTCTGCTGTATTTTTCTATGTATCCCCTTCCCAGCAGAACATCATATAAAATAGTTTGGGAATAGCTTATGTAATGTAAAAATTTCAGTAAGACTAATAAAACTGCTTATCAAATGTGACAAAATTATGCGACAAAGAGAAAATTCTATTCTAAAAAATTTAATTTTTATAGCTTGACCTTAAAAACTGTGAAAAGAAATAAAGAAAAGTAATAAGCTAGAAGTTATGAGGTTGATTTAATACAATTCCATATAATAAAATTACTAATAATCCTACTTAAATTTACACATTATAAAAAATAATCTTTCTTTTTTTTTTGCTTAAGTGAGCAGTCTTCAGCCAGTTAGCGACATATTTACTTTTCCAGAATAAATTGCACACTTTTATAATTACACTTTGAGTGTTCTTTGTACTTTCATAAAATTTACATACATTTAAAGGCAGAAAATAGAAGTAACCAAATTAAAGCATTACTTAATAAGCAATCAATTCAGTAAGTGCAAACTATGATTTTCACAGTCCTCACTTTATTTAGTCATATGATTATGCAACATAATATCTAGAACCAAACTGACTAGCCTATTCTGATTTATACAAAGACATCAATTTAAAACCCAAATAGCTTCAGGCATTTTTAAAATTGATTCAATTTCTTTAATGTTACAGTTATAAACAAATTTAAGTTTACAAAAGTTTTAAGAAGTGTCAACAAAGAAACAAATTACTCAGATTAATTAACAAATATTTTACCAAGATTTATTAGGACTTTTTATAACATAATTCTAAAAAAAATTTACAATAAATTTGTCTTTATTTTGTAATATTTTCAGTACAATTAATTAGTATTTTTGATCAATGGAATATGTAAAATAAAACGAAAAGAAGTATGCTATAGGCAGCAATTGTTACAGAACTGAAAATGACAATCATTCCTAAATTTTTTGATGAAACTAAAAACTGCCAATAGTATTTATTATGTGGGTTGTAAGCAATATGTACACGAACACAAAAAATTTTTTTTTGTTGCAATCTTCCTCTAAGACTAACTTAAGAGGCACAAACGCACACTAGCAACCATCAAAAGATGTTATGATTATTCAATCGTGATCTGTCAAAAAAAAAATAATAAATGTAAAATATAAGATAAAAATAACAAAAATTCATCAGCATAGAGATATTGTGACATTAATTCCCAGATTGCCATTATCAGCAAATATCTGTGCAATATTAGTGTCAAAGACCAGACAGTCACTACTCATGATAGCAGGCGTAACACCTTCTAGTATGCTTCGGGGTGTGGCCTCCCAAGTCAATCGACGGCGATTTCCATTTAATTCCAATCTGAAACAATTATTCGCTAAGTAAGTTACAGCATTTTGACAAGAAAATACTGAAAATAATGATAAATCAAATAATTGAATTTTGTTTTTGAACAAATGTTTGCAGTTATTTACTCAGTACAGTACTGAAAATTTCAGAACACCATTTTTCAAAAAAAAATAAAAATCAGAACATTTTTTTCTTCTTCTTGGAACAGTATGTATGCATACTAGAATACTTTCCAAAAGAAACTGATATATATATATATAGTTAAAAATATAGAGAAAACTTGGAAAATAATAACGATTAATGAAAGAGACAAAGAAAAGTAAAATATTTTTAAAAAATTATGAAAATTTTAAAAAACATTATTTTGTTAAAATCATTAAAATTGCATAATTAAATATCAACCATATTAATTAGAAATTTTAAGTAATCGAGTACAATATTGTTACCTTGTGCACATCTTTTTTCGGGCCAATTCGAAGTAACTAACAAATCAAACACTCTCTAGTACTGCAGTATGATTGCAACATAAAAGATCCCTCTACTCACGCTCAATTTGCGCCTCTGTTTTCATACTTGTTATCTGGCAATCTTATAACCAAAATATTTTAAATCATTCTTGAAAGATTACGGTACTTGTAAGTTCATTTAAATTCGTTAATCGGTTTGCAGATTTTGTTTTGTGTTTTGTTCTGTATTTTGTTTTTCGCTTTATATATTTTAATTCATATATATTCTTACTTAATGTGCTCTATTTTCGCTTAAAAAATTTTTTTAAATGCTCCTCACACTATTCAGGNTAAAAAAAATGAAATTTTTAGAAAAATCTGAATTTTTGACAAAAAAGCTGAAATTCAAGTGATAAAAGTTAAAAAAGCGGAAATCCGCTAAAAAGCGGAAAAATCTCATCCCTGACTATTGTATTGATATATTTTGCTTTGGCTATATTGATACAATATTAGTAAGCACTCCATTTTGAGGATATAATCGTGTGAGCTGATGAAGAGATATGTTTCCATCATTTTGTATTCCGGCTTTTTAATATTTTTTTTAAATATTACTTTTTTCTTCTATTTTCATTAGTCTACTATTTTCCATGTTTTCTCGATATTTTTAACTTATTTTATGAGTTTAATATACTTGCAGCTTATGCACAGTAAATAAAACTTATTAATCTTCTTTTTCTTTTTCCCTTTTGTCGTTATTGTGCTACATATATAAATATATACAATTTGCTCTATATGAAGTATAATAAAAGTAAATTTTATAACAAAAGAATAAAATATACTATTTTTAATAACAGAATTACTTTATTCGAAAAAGAAAGATTTAACAGTTACCAGTACAGTTCTAATAATAAAGCACAGAACAACTCAGAATAGTTTGAGAGGAATATACAGAATATTGATTATATTCTGTATATTGATCTCAACTATTAATAACTCAACTAAAATTAAAACTCGACACGACAGCCCATAGAGGGCAAAGGCCTACTGTGCCCATCTCAGTTTTCTTGACCTTGGGCTCTGGGGTGCAGGAGCAGATTTTCCGGTCAGGTGGTCAGCCGAATGCGGAACCCCCGGTATTTAGTTCCCAAGCATGCTTGGTACTCATTTATCGACCCACTGAAGGGATGAAAAGCTGAGTCAGCCTTGCCCGGCCCGAGGTTCGAACCAAGGACCCGTGGCACGACAGCGCGAAGTGCTACAGCTCAGCCACCGGGCGTCGAATAACTCAACTATTTTAATGTAAAGTTGCAAATTGAGTTTTTCAGAAAAAGACTGAATACTCAAAAAGTTTGAAACAACAGAAACTGCAGGAAAGTCTAAGTCTTGAAATAAATCAGCGTATTCATTGAAAATAAATTCAATAAACGTAAATTGCTTCCAGCACAAAATTTGATAATGTAAAATTGTAAGTTGAGTTTTTCAGAAAATGACCAAATTTCCAAAAAGTTTAAAACAACACCTGCAGGTAAGGCAATAAGTCTGAACCGTGAGTATAATTAGTTCACAGTCTGTTTGAACAATCAATTTTTCTGATTTTTATTAGCATCAATCAAAATATAAAGATGCTAGATCAAAAATTCAATTCTTCAAATCAATTATTTCGAAATATGCATTCGCATTAGTAGAAAAAGAAATGATCTGAACACGTAAAAAATCAGGTATATCAAGGCAAAAAACTAAAAATCAGGATAAATAAAATTAGGATATTTTCTATCAGAAATTCAAGAATATCAGGACATCTACAATTCTGTTTTATTACGTACATTAAAGTACTTTATGTATAAATAAGCTTAACATTACAGTATAAATACATTACATAAGTTATTCGGAAAAAATTGTTAAAATTTTCATAAGGAGTATCATTTGCTCTGTCTGCAACTTTGCTTAGTTGAAAATTAATGATACCAAGAAAGCCATTGGATATTATACTATCTCCACTACAACTAAAATATCATAGCATTTTTTTACAACATCAAATGTTAAAACTTATACAAAGTTAAAAACTGTCCTGTGTTAAATAGAAAAAAAATAAAAAAATTTTCTTGAAACAATTCTAATATTATTAGGACGCAACGCATTGTGCAAAATGTAGATGGAATTGACAAGGCATTTACTTTTACGTGCTTCTTTATAAAATCAAGATATGATAAGAAAGTTACAAAAGTCAAAACAATAAAAAATTTTAAGCGTAAAAACAAGTTTAAATGAGTACTTGCAAAATTAAAACATGATGCATTCAATATCAATCACCATTAAAATTGAAGTAAAGCAAACAAGTAGGTTAATATAAATAAAAATGTACATACCTATATATAAAGTTTTCTGCCTGTTTTCTAGATCCAATTAACTGAACAATTGCATAAAATTGCTGACCATCAACTTTTTCTTGCTTTTCCAAAACAAGCATAAAATGATGGCCAAAACAGGATTGCATCATTACCCAATCAACAGCCCCCGGAAGATTTATATCAGTTGCTAGAAAAACTATATCTTCACCTAAAAAAACAGAAACAAAGACAATCTTAGTAAGAGAGGTAAAAAATTTGAAATTTTCCAAAATTAAATAGTAATTTCAACACATTTTATATACGTATACCTTTTTATTGGCACTGACCACACTATCTTTTTGATAGAAGCTTCCACCTTAATGCATAATTACAAAAAAACTCAGAAAATTTAAAACATTTTAATCATGAAATATATTGATAATAAAATTAGGCAGTCTATCTAAGGTCTAAAGTAGGAGGCAGTCTATACAAGATCTATATAGGTTAGGTATATATCAAGTCTGAATATTTAAATACAATGCTCCTACAAACTTTTTCTTGAGGAACTTTAAATAGCTTTATATTTCATCCAATGAAAATTATTAAACGATTATAAAACATGCTTCGTTTCTTTGAAGATCATTATCAAACATATGCCAAATTTTGATCATATAGAAATTAAGGAGAGTGACAGTTAAAGATTCCATTCCCCTTCCCTTTTAATCTACTTGTTTGTCTTTTTATATTTTCATGATCATACAGACTTGTAGTAATTGTCAAAATATATCATTATAACTTTCTTAATAATAATATAAAATTTCTCCCTATCGTATCAATACTCTCCCCTAAATGATTTCAGAAATCAGTAAGCAAACCCCAACTGTTTTAACTATTCACGTATAGATAAGCGGCCAGAACAATTTTCCATTTTGCATTTCTGAAGTTCATATCTTTCTCATATAAATATAAATTAAACAAACCAACTGTATTTTTCTAATTCATTAAGAGGGCCGGGATAGCCTGGTCGGTAGGGCGCTGGGCCCATATCCAAGAGGTCGTGGGTTCGATCATCGCCGGCCGAAGGCTCCCCGTGTAGTAAATGGTGACTGATGCACGTTAAATCGGTCGAGTCTCAAAGTCCTCCATGTTCCCACAACAAATCAATACCTCTGGGGGTACTGATCCAGGAGTTTCCATGTTTTCTGGATTGGTTCAAAATTACAAGGCTACGGAGCTGAACGCAAGTAGTCGTAAACCCATGAAATTGGGTCGGCTGTTCAACGACGGTTATAAAATAAAAAAATTATTCATTCAGAGAGCCGCGATGGCTCAGGGGATAGAGCGTTCGCCTTCCAATGAGGTGAACCGGGGTTCAATCCCGGCAATGGCTGGTAGATACTAATTCCACATCCGGCTTGCACCGACCACAGTGCTGATGGGAAATACCTTCAGTGGTAGACGCAGCATGGGTTAGAGTCCCCTTGCCATCAGGCTAACCGTGGGAGGTCCTCGCGGTCTTTCTCTCCATGTAACGCAAAATCCGGGTTAGTTCCATTAAAAAGTCCTCCACAAAGGCAAATTTCTCTCAATACTTAATCCAGGAGTTCCCCTGTCTTCTGGATTGGATTCAAAATTACAAGACAACAGAGTTGAACATTAGTAGTCGTAAACCCAAATATTGGTTTGGCTGTTCAACGACGGTTATAAAACAAAGTAATTCATTGATAGAATCTTTTTGAAATAGAAAGTAGGAATAACTGTTTAACTGCTAACAACTTTATACGTATTTAAATTAACAGACACGAGTAATTTATAATTAAGTATAAATACAATTGAAGGTTAGATTAATTTTGCATAGGATATACTTGTTTGGGATCAATCAAGTTCTACCAGCAAGATGGTACTAGTTGCATAGAGAAGAGAATAAATATTTCATTTTTATTATGTACTTTAACACTTTGCACAGCAAGAAAATTTTTCTGCAATTTTGTCTAAGTAACCGTACAGTAAAGGTATTAAATAACAGTAATTTAAATTGAGAAGCCAATCAAGCCAAAGAATTTTTGATAATTAAAAAAGTGGAGACAACCGAAAATTGATATCTATTGCATAAATTAAGACTTATTAATCATACAAATTGTAAATTGTATGATGTGCTAATTTAATTTTAATTTGCAAAACAATGGTTAAATTTTTTTTAATTAACTTTCATTATCAAATGCCATAAAAGGGACCAAAAACGGGAAGAAAGGAAAAAAGTATACCTTGAAGAGTTGTTATGGATTTATGTATGGCCATTAAATGAGGCATCACTTGATCTAATGACCCAAACCATTTACATTGAGCACCAGGGCAAGGGCATGAATATGGCCTAAATATTCATAAAATATTATTAATACAAAAAATATATATATAAAACATTTTCAAAGTTGCAGAATGTATCAATTAAAATTTATTTTACCAAAATATTTAATTTAGGATACATTAAAATTTTTTCCATCAAACATACTCCTAGGGATACAAACCTATAACAATGCTTTTCAACAGTTGTAGATATTGTCTAGTATTAGTGGAAATAATTTGATAGTAGCAATATAAGAATACAAAATAAAACATTTATTTGGCATTTCATAAATTACATTTTCTTAAACAATTAAAGCAACTATAAAAATTTTATTTAACAAATAAAGCTTAATTAACTGTGTGGAAAAAAGGAATTTGATTTGCAGAAACTTTTATAAATTAAAAGTAATAAAAATTTCCCACGCTTTATAAAAGCTTTTAAATAATTCTTATTCTGCAAATGAAACAAACTAGTATCCATAACTGTTGGCATTATTTTGTGACCTCGTGGCAAAAGCAGGCCAATACAGTGACATCACTAAACATTACAGAGTTATTGCAAAATGATTTTTTCTTTGGGAAGCAAAAAATTTTGAGTTTCTTTTCTGCAGAAATTTTTGAAAGAGTTTTCTTTTCTACAGAATTATATTCAAAAGATACTTTCCTCATGAATCGGAGAGGAAAGAAATTCTTCTTATTTTTCTAATTCTCATTTAAGAATAAAAAAAGGTTCAATAATGACTGGCTTCAACTAAAATTTCAAATCGATAATATATACATATATTTATATATAAAAATCTAAATTGGGAAACTTATAAGATAGTTCACTTTAGAAATCATATTCCTTTTTTAATTTTTTTTAAATGACTATGAGTGGAGATTTTGTTATTAAATTAGATTTGTAACAAAAGAAATAATTAATGAATGCAGTACATTGAGCCCTCGTATTTTTAAATTTGGTTGAAATAATACCAATCCAATATTTTTAATATATTATGCACATAAAAATTTGAAATCACGCATTTGAGTCATCACTTCATTGTTCAAAACTCATGCCAATACCACTGCAAATATATGTAGTGCTTGGATTTTTTTTTTTTTNTTTTTTTTTTTTTTTTTTTTTTTTTTTTTTTTTTTTTTTTTTGTAATCATTGATATAAAAGTTTACTTAGTTATTTATTTTTTTAAGAACTGATGTCTTTCATTGTTCAGTCATTATTGTTGATATTGTAGGAAGTTTTTCAAAAAAATACTGATATTATTACAGCAAGCAAAGTTCTAATCATGAATTCAAGAAATTACACAATGACATGTTTGGTTTGCACGGATATCATCATTAACCTACGCAGTATTTTAATCGTTCTTTTGATACTATTTTTTTTTAAAATCATATTTTTTAAGCAATTTTATTACAAGCAAAACTCTACACTCATTTGATTGTTTACCTTTAATGTGACGGTTTCATCATTTTTTTCCCCAATTTTTGCTAGTGCTACCAATATTATTTTAAATATTTTAAATTTCGGTTATTTCACAGTTTATATTATTACAGCATGTTAAATTTGAAATGCGCATTTAAATAATCACTTTTTAAGATTTATGCTGATAGTATCGTAAATCAGTGCAGTGTTTCATGTGTATTTTCGGCAACCATTGAAATTGATATTAACAGAGTGTTTAAATATACGATATACTTCACTCACACAATATAGGAAATTCGAATTGTGCACTTGAGAATTTACTTTTTAACGCATTTATTCTATAGATTTTCTTCATAGTTATTGTTATTGATTTCCATAAAGTTCATAAAATACAATATTCTGAATACACTATCATTTATTACAACAACCGAATCTGGAAAAGAAACACACAATAGATTAATTCTTTTTTAAAGAGTATGATTCTTCTGTTAATTTGGTAATAACTGTAATCAATGTAAATTAAAATAACAGTTTATGTTATTTCATTTTGCTAATTTTAAAATATTTTACATTTCTGTTTTATAACCAATTACTTTATATTAATTTTGTATTACTTACTTTACGTACTATATAACTTACTTTACTTAGATACACTTTTAATCCAATGCACATAAATGTTTAAATTTTAAAACTAGCTTTAATTTAGTAGCTCTTAAAAAAAAATAAAGAAATATGAACTAACTCTCAATTTAGCTTAAATTAGATCTAAGAAAACAAGCCACATGATCCTTTAAGTTAAAAATGTGTTTTTTTAAAACATAAATGTTTTTTAATGTTTGTAGTGAATAAAATAGCTCTTAATAAAACTTGTACAGCACTGCAGCAAAATTTAAAAAAATTAATTCAGTATCAACTAAAATCGAAATATTAAGTTTGAGAACTATACTATTCACCACCAGTTAACTAAAAAATAATGATTTGGCATTTTAAAGCACTTAATAGGAACGGGGCTGATTGTGCTCCGGAAGTTTCCGGAGATCGAAGGTCCAGACGTTTAAAAAAATCATTGATCACAGAAGTTTCCGGAAATCAAATTTTCAAAGGTGGAACTTAAAAACACAGTTTATTTTATTTGCTTGTAAGGGAAAGCCAGAGATATACTTTTTAAGCTTATGTTCATGATTAATATTAATTTTTTATCAGTAAATAGTTGTTATAATCATAAACTCAAGAAAGAAAGACATATTTGTAAATCTTAATTACTTCTCCAGGTCATCATAGATATGTGTAAATGGTATAGGTATGTGTAAAATTTTAAAAATATTTTAAGTAAACTAAGAAGTATCGAGAAAAGGAAAACAAACTTGTTTAAATTTTTTACTAATTTTTCAATTAAATTTTTGTTTTTTTTTTTAACTCAAGAAATTTTACGGAATTTTGACTTGGGCTCACAATCACCCTTGAAAGAATTAAAACATTTTGTCTATTTGAATAGTAATTTCGATATATTTTATCCTGACTTAAAAAAAGCTTTCAAGTAGCAGACATTAATACAACAAGCAGAATGAAATGATGAACAAATGATTATTTTTAAGAAAATTATAATACCTGAATTCACAAAGTTCTTCATGATCAGCTTTTTCAGTATGCATCAACTGTTGCTTACAGCCACTCTGAGAATATTTACATGGGAAAAAAACTGTTGTAGCAACCTTTTCCATGGCTAAATTTCTTATATTGCCTACATAATAATTTAAACATTTTGAAAATCTAACAAGATTAAAATGATGAAAATAATCAAAATAATACATTTTTAAATAAATCTTAAGGGAATACTATACTGACGGAGAATACCATCATGTGAAATTTTCTTTCACCAATATATGTAATTTAAAATTCAAAAGTACAGAAAAAGTAAGTTCAGGTAAACATAGGGTGAAAAATAAAAATTCAAATGAAAAAAAAAACTTTTAATTTTAACTTTTAAAAGCATTAAAATGCAAATAAATTATGGTAGGATTACTTAGGATTATGCAGTGGGAAATATACCCAGTTAAAGTTTGTATGAGTTTTGTTATTTTTTAATCATTTTTTCAGCATTCATGGTTTTCTCCAGTTTTACCAGAATTACTTTTATTTAAACTTTTAACAGAATTTACCATGAAAACTTTTTCTCACAATATAGAGCTCTTCAAATACCAGACTGTAAATAGTCAGAAAAAATGACACTTCTATAAAGAAAAATATTCAGGAAAACCATTATAGCAATTAGAAGATTAAATATAGGGATGCAAAACCTTATTAATGAAGAGGCATTTACGTAGCAGATTGACCAATGAACGGCCCCATGCCTAATTAACCTGAATTTTTAAGTAAACAACAGTGTTCCTGGCATTAAATACTTTTTAGCAGTTACCTTTTAATATATTTGCATAAAGCTAAATATTTTTAAATATTGAAATTCATTAAAAATCAAAAAATACAAAGCTGATGCTTTAAAATAAATAAAAAATTTCTTCTTATCGTCAAAAAATAGATTTATCAAAATAATAATCAACACTAGAAAAATTTCCTTAGAAACTCAGTCATTTTAGTTATTGAAAGACAGAAATAGCACTAAAAAATAGTTCACATTTTTTAAATTGCTCACCTCACATCTGAGTAGAAATTTCAAAACCTCATATTGAATAAACATAAAATATTGTTCACATTATAAACCTACATATTGTTAATTCTATATTAATGGATTGAAAAAGTAATTCAGATTTTAAATATTTCACACCAACAAAAATGATTTATGGGAGTAACAACAAACCATTAGGTTTTGGATGGGAGAATAATAATAAAAAATTACAATTCTAGAAAATCATTAAATTTTAGAAAAATTTCGACTAATACAAAATATTAAAACTAACTAGTATTAAAAAAATCAGAAAATAAATTAAAAAATTAGTTTATTTCCCAATTAAAATTTAAAAAAATTTGTACCATACAAAATAGACTTTACCTATAGGTCCTCTGCAACTAGGGCAACATGTTAATTTATGACGACAAGATGCACACACAAGGTGCCCATTCTGACATTGCAAAATTGGTGGTAAAACATAATCAAAGCACACAGGACACTCAAAAAGACTAGCTAAGTCAGCAGTAGTTGAATTTGAAGCACCGGAAGTACCAGCATGGCCAGTCACTGAGTTATGAGTACCTGCTACAAAAATAAATAAATAAATTATTATATAAAACAATTCTTTGACAGAGAAAAAATTAGACAAAATCTATACATTAGAGAATATATAGTACAAACATCATTTACAACATATTCATCTATTTTTAGCTTATCCCCTAAAATACAAAAAAAAAAAAAAAAAAAAATTGCAAATTAAATTTATTAACACAAATTTAATAAAAGTCGTAGTATTTAGTTTAAATAATCAATATAAAATTAAATGTAAAGTTGTTTTTTTTTAGATGACGAAAAATATTATGTTAATCAAATTGATATCTATCAATTAGATTGATGTTTATTAACTAATGATGACATTAAGAACAGATATTAAAATTAAAATATTAAACTTAATTTTATAAATCTAAAGAAAAAATTTCATTAGAAAACAATTTCATTTAAAAGCTGTAGACTTTAATAAGATATTTCATGATAAAACACACATATGAAAGAGTGGAGGATTTACTAATATTTATAATATTGTAAACAAGGATAGCTGATTATAAAAGCCAAATGAGGCATGACCTCTTCATTTTTTATTTCAACTTATTAGTTCCTACAGACCTTGATATTTAACTGCAGTTAAAAAATCCATAAGTTTTTTGCTTTCTCTTCAACTATTATTAGTCTAACTAATCTTTTAAATTTGAGCCTGAAAAAAAATTCATTATTAATTATAATACATGGCATCACTATGTTTGTTGGAACAATCAGCAAATAAGAAAATACATAAAAAATCTTAGTTACTTTATTTACAACAGTCAAATTTTCAGAAATTGACACACAAAAAAAACAACAACTAATAAACACTCAATGATGTATTTGGCCCTATAATATACAATTAAGTAATACAAATATAATCATAAACCAACCAAAATATAATCATTACCAACCTATATTGTACTTAGTGTCGATTGATGCAGATGACGGATGAATAGGAGCTGTGTTGCATGTAGCAGATAGATGGTTCCGTGGTTTATTGGGGAAGTGCTTCTTTTCCATTCGGAAAATATTTTTAATACAATATAAAACTAGATGTTAGCCTCCTAGAAAGAAATAGAAAGTACTATCAATTAGTTCTTTAAATATCATAAACTTTAGTTAAAAAAAAAACTATGCAACACAAAAAAGAAAGAAAAAAAATGCAATTTGTGACAAGAAATTTAGAAATATCTATTCTCATTCTATCATTATTAAACCAAAATAACTCACATAACAATTAAATGCAACTATATTGGATAAATAAAAAATAAAAATGCACAATGTATCAAAAAAGCAATGAAAAATTACTTAAAAGAGCAAAAGTAAGGCATGCCATATATTCTTGGTGAATGATATGGACAATTATAGAAACAATAAATTGTACCAAAAAAAAAAAAAAGAACATAATCTTTATAGTGGAATATTACAAAAAACAATTTCCATGTATGATTATAATTAATAACATGAATAAAGTTAATAAAAAATTTACTTTTTTACCTCTTAATTTTAAATATCCTTAGAATGCAAATAAAACACTTATAATTTTAAGATATTAAAAAAAAATTCAATTTTTAATATCAGTTTTATGTTTCTAGCTCAAAGACACTTTTTGAGAAAAATTATGTACAGAAATATTTTTTTTCTAATTAGATAATAGTTACAAATATTAATGAAGGTAGGCCTTACAAAATGTAAATACAAAGAAAAAACTTCTCAAAATGTTTTTCATCATTATATAAACTTTAACTCTTTCATCTATATACTCTTTTTAAGGATAGATAAGTACATTTAATACAGTCAAATCAAATAAAAATAAATTTGAAGCTTTTAACTACAAAAATAAAGAAAAAAATAATATTTTTAGTACTACAGTTACGTACATAAGATAGTTATGTACATTACGTACTTTTCAGATTAAAAATAAACATCTTTTAAGCACTTTATAAGGTTTTAAATAAAACATTATGAAAGTCATATTTCATAATTTAATATATGATTTTTAAAAAAAAAGTCATATTTTATAATGTAATATATGATTTTAAAAAAAAGTGATATTTCATAATTTAATGTATGATTTTAAATAAATTGACATGCTTTTATAGCTTAGTCTAACTCATAAGAAAAATACTATAACGAAAATTCAATGTCTTTTTTTCTTCAAGCTATACAAAAAGTAATGTAATACAAAAATTTTCAAAATAAGTTCTAATTTTAATGAATTGGTAAAATATGGGTCCTATAAATATACACCTATATCTGTATCAGGAGTTAATATTCCAACAAACTTGTTTTCAGTATATCACCAATTTTCATTTGTAAGTAGTTTAATTTTATCACAATCTAGTGTTAAAACGAAACCAATAATTGAGGATTTACTTTTAGAAAGAAAATAATCAGTGTCTAAGGCAGAGGTCGCCAAAGTGGTCTATATAGACCCCCAGGGGTCTATTTAACATAAGCGGGGGTCGATCTGAGCCAGGGGGTCGAATGGGGGTCGATCCGAACCGGAAGGGTCGATTGGTCGAAGGATTATCAGTATTTTTCAGATATGTGACAATTAGAAATAAAAGAAGAAGACTTGGAAATATATACAGGTAATCTTCAAAAATTGAGCGACGATTTTAAACTGCGTTTTGTTGATTTGGAAAACATTGACATCCCTGATTGGATTATTGTGCCATTTTCTGCTCAAATTGAAAACGTGGACATCAACCTGCAAGATGAGCTTGCTGAATTATTATGGGGATTTGAAGCAAAGACGCTTTTTAAAAATTTAACAATAAGCAAATTTTGGACAAATATAAATATAATGCAAAAATATGTAAGACTTTACGAAATAGCTCAGCCATTTATGATAGCATTTCCAAGTTCCTATATGGTTGAAGCCGGTTTCAGTCACGTAAATTCAATCTTAACTAAGAACAGAAATAAATTAAATGTGGAGTTTCGAGGGGATTTAAGATTAAAATTGACCAATTTTGATCCCAATATAACGAACCTTGAAGAAAAAAAAACACCAGGCACACCCATGTCATTGATTAAGAAGCAATAAATCCGTAGTTACTTTACTTATTATTTCTACTTACTTATAATTACTTATTATTTCATAAATATTAAGGTATTTATATTTCAACATTAATATATTTTTCATAAAACTATTGTTACACTATGTACTATTACTTTAATAAATGTTCAAAATCATAAAATAAATGTACAAACACAGTATCTAATAGAGTCTTATTTTAATTAACAGAAAATTACTTTTATGGGGGTCGATGGAGATTTCGAAAAATTATGTAGGGGTCGATGATCAAAAAAGTTTGGCAACCCCTGGTCTAAGGATTAATAGAATAAGTAAGTCAAAATGTTATTAGAAATGGCAAGTTAAAATAGGCACTTTCTATGAGATGTGAGAACCCACAAAGAATATTTGATGTTAAAAATTCAAATTATAAGATAAATTTTTGATTAAATGAAATATATAAAAATAAGAGGAAGTTTAGTCACAAAAAATTAACTTTCAATTCAATATTTATGGAAGTTAACTAAACAAGTTCCCCTAGATTAAATAAAAAAATGAAATAAACTAGATAAAATAGATAATATTTTTTGAATAAATTCAATTATTTTATTATTCTAAGAAGTATCTTAAACAAAGGAATAAAAAAAGTGAATATTTAAAGAGAAAAACGTGTTTTTTATCATTATTATTGACAAAGTGTTTTTGTAAAAAGTTAAATCTGCCAAAAACTCTTTATTGCAAAATTTGCAATTCTTGGCAAATTTATTCTTTTCTATTTAAAGTTTAATTTTTTTAGGTGTCCACTGATGTAAAAGAACACATTTTAAATAACATATTCAAAATTTATTGATTAAAATTCTAGACCTCTGATCAAATTGTCTTTGGTCCTATACTATAAAAACTATTTTACATTTTCTAACAATTCAGTTTCATTGTTATATGAATACTGGAATACATTCTCTTTAAAAATATAAAGTGCTTCATGTATTTTTATGATTTATTATAAGTTTTTTTTTTAAAATATCATTATTCTTAAGATTCCCAAAACCTTGGCTCTTTACAAAAAATTGTAAAGGTTAACATATCACTATTCCTTTATTTTTAATGTTAAATACAAATAAAACTAAATAATTTTAAGAAAAAATTATGAAAGAAAAAAAAAGAAAACAGAAAAAGATAAGAAAGGGAACAGGAAAATATACAAAAGAGAAAAGATACAAATGAAAACATATGTATTTTTCTTTATATATGAAATGAAATGATACAAATCATACAGCTACTGTTTTACAAAAATTGTTTTTGAAAAATCCTGAATTAATTGGGAAATTACATTCAATACAACACACTATATATTTAATTCCAGTAAACTAAGTGATTTTTGTATTAACAAATACAAGGCTGGAACTTTAAAAAAAATTAAAATTTGGTCATTTTATTACAATTGTCTTCTTTAACTAAATACACTAAGAGTATTTATTCAATTGATAATCAAAATTTAAAAAAAAAAAAATTGCCTTTTTTTTATTTTTAAAATAAACTATTATTACAGACTAACAACTAAGTATGTTACTTAACGCTTATATAGCAATCTAAACTTCACAATGCTAACTGTAACTCATTTATAACCATATTTCATAGGCAGGGCTATAAGCCACTTATGGAGCATTAAAATTATAAATACTTAAGTAAATCAAAAGTTTATTTTGGTTCATTCATAAGAACAATAAAAATTTTAAAACAAAATAAGTTTTCAATATAACAGAAAATTATATTTCTACCTTTAGGCCAAGTTCATATGAAAATAAGTTAAAATCAATTCCAAGGGATGCACATCATCTTCATACTCAGTTATTGCACAGGAAAATCTAGAAACATGGCAAATAAGTATTGTACAAAGATAAAGAAAATTCTAAATTGATATCACATCAATATACTTTACAATGGAAACAATTTACGAAAAAATGTTGTATATCTCAATGATGAACTTTAAATTAAAACTCACAAAAATTATATTTCACAATTTCAAGTAGTAAGTAAATAGGGGACGTTTAGCAATTATTATAGCTAAATAAATGGGAAAAATAAGCTATACAATAGAAATAATTGTTGCTCTTAAACTAGATAGAAAAAATAGTAATTCTTACGTGTGATGCACATAAAATAAACTTACTAATTTGTTTTGTTGTCGTATAAAAACAGCATATATTCGAAAACTTAGAAATAAGGGATATTTATATCTTCGATTTGTATATACACTGGAATATGATAACAATAAATGATATTTTTTTGCAGATATCCACACGGAACTCACAAAATCCCTGCATCAGTAATTAATCTTAAAATAATTTCTTAAAAAGATAAGTTTCTTCAATGAATATATTATTATGCCATTACACGAATCTTTTTTAATAAATTTATTACATATCGATGCTTCAGAAAATATCGATATTATGTAAAAAATTAATTTTCACAAGCTAATGTTTTTCAGTCAGGATGCTAAAGTTTTATTTACTGTTTGACTCATTGATGTGAGTTATACTTGAACTAATAAACAAAATTAATTATCATTCAATAAAAGAAACTCATATTATCTTCAAAAACTCTGTATGCAAAAGAAAAGAAGAAAAATAATAATTTTCGTACAAAAAAGTATACGATTCCAATTCAAATATCATAATTATTTCTTTTGATTGCAACATTAGTTACGCAATAATGGCAACGATCGAATACGATTAAAGGGCTTTAAGGAATATATGGAAGAAAATAAAGTTGTGGGTGTAAATAATCAAAAAAATTATAATAATCTCTATAATCTGTGGTCTACATTTGTTGTATCATCACAATCTAGTCAAACTAATTTAAACCCTTTTCATGCCACTGACTATAATGTGTTTTCAATTTTTATTTTATTTTACGGATTTGTGTCGTTTTTAAAATCGTTGTTGCCTTCAACTTCTAAAAGTTTACCTAGTACGATGAGCTCATTTGATAAATTAGGAACTGCTCGCTCTACATTATGTCCCAAATCAGTGTCTGTCTTACAAGACTATTCTATAACAGATACAGTGCTTGGACTTGGAATAAATGGCAAAGTTGTTGAATGCTTCAATCGTAAAACAGGAATGAAATATGCTCTAAAAGTAAATACCTTAAGCTACTATAGCATTACTTTAAATTATCTTGCAATAGAGACTTATGTCATATATATGAGCTTTATTAATATTTCTTTTTCCTGAAACTGACTTTAAATAAAGAAATTATTTCAATAAACGTAGTTTAATTTGCTGTTTAGTTAAAAAAAATACTTACATTTTTTTACAATGAAAAACATCATTCTTATCGGGCTATTATTCCTTTAAAAAATACTGTAAACATACATTGCAGTCCATTATTCTGGAAAAATACTAAATTGTTCAACATTTGATTTTTTTATTATCTTCTAAAAATACATTTTTTTATTGTATCACTTCTGTATTTAGTTTTGCTATATGCTAAACATTTATACTAATTTAAAATAAAGTATTAAAAAATTATAACCTACATGTTTTTAATTCCAAGATTAATCAAAAGAATCACTAAAGAGTAACATTAATTCCGGTATAATTATATTGGGGTATTATAGGTATTTAATAAAATAACAACGTTTGTATGGTACAAACAGAATAAATATTTAGATTAAGGGCTGGTAGTTAACTTAAAGGAAATTTGAAACATATTAACAAAAAGTGAACTGTGCTTAAAAGTATATTTTTAAGATTATCATTATTTTGTACGTCATAGAATATGTAATTTAAAAAAATTATTAACTATTTATATCTTTTTTTTATTTTAAAAACTTAGTTATTTTTAAATATTGTTTATGAACTTTAGGTACTGAGGGATTCTTCAAAAGCAAGAAGAGAGGTAGAGTTGCATTGGCGTGCCAGTAATTGCAGGCACATTGTGAACATAATTGACGTATATGAAAATATGTATGGTGGTTATAAATGCCTATTAGTTATCATGGAATGGTGAGCACGTTTTATATTTAAAAAATTACTATTGGAAGCTCTTGTGATTTATTTGTTAATTTGACCAATTTTATGTTGTTACAAAGTACTAAAGTGTTCATATGTCTTTATTATTTAAGTAATTGTCCAGTCTTATTTAATTTATGTAACTTAGTTTGAGCAGAGAGTTATCACCCTTTGGAATTAACATTCTACAAATAAATACCTTTTGGTTATATGGTCTCCTTAAGGAACTGTGATAATTTTTTTTCTTTTGCCTGATTTAATTTGTCACACTTTTGTTTAATTAGGCTTACAATGTTGTTAATGATTGACATTTTTTTTTTTTTAATTTTAGAAGTACAGATTTTAAAATTGTTTAAATTTGTTATAATTGATGGATTTTTAATGTGACACTGGTTTTTTTAAGCTGAAATTGTAACATATTGACAATTTTTTGAGCAATAATAAAGACCTAAAAAAATTTTAAATTACGTGAATTAGTTATAACGTTTAAATAAAACAACTCTGTAAAATTATCATTGAATATGAAATTTAATTGCATAAAAGATTAAAATTGCTATGATATTCCAAAATGTAAATATTTTGTTTTATATATTCTGAAACATTATGATTAGAACTCTTTGTTTAGAAGAAAAAACGTACACAAATTTTGCCTTATTTTCTTTCATTTTTTTATTGATGTATTATATACAATTCAATAATACACAACAATTCAAGCTGCGCAAGCTGAAGCAGCAAAAGAACTAATTTCGATTAATAATATATTAAATGAAGGCAAAACTTTTAAGTTATGTATCACCTAAAATTGAATTGCTTTGTGATAATCAAGCAGCTATAAATTTTTCAACTTCTTCAGTGTAGAACCATAAGACAAAGCATATAGATTTTAAGTTTCGTTTTTTAATAAATTTAGTTTTGAATAATGTAATAGATATTAAATACATAAACACTAAATTAAGTAAATCAGATATTTTTACTAAACCATTTGCTAAAGAATCACTTCATAAATTCTGTGGTCAAATCTATGCAAAGTAATTTAATTTTCTTTAGTAATTTAAGTAATTCTTCTAGTAATTTAATTTTAGGCAGATCTGCCTGAGGGAGCCAATTGTTGGAAGTAGTTTGACTAATCAGTCAGATCTTCCCTTGTATTATGCATTTTCTTAACTCACCATAATGTAAAATTATTAAAGTTCAAGGTTATGTCATCTTTATAGAAGAGTAAAAAACCTTTGTATAACTCATTAAGTATTAATTAAAGAGAAGGAAGTATACGACTAAACTTCTATCTGTTTCTTCATTTTAATCATATGCAGTTGAAATAAATCTGTTCGTGAAGCAACTGTATTAAGTATAAATACCTCAGATGTTGCGACATCAAGTAACGGTGTGCTAGCTTGTTTACTTTTCAAGATGTTGTAAAGTTTCTTAAAAAACTCTGTGCTTCGGCACATATCTGTTTTTCTTCAAAATATTGATTGTTGAAACTGCAAGTAGGTCATTTTATTGCTTCATCATCATTGTGCTTAAATAACTCTGCATCCAGCCTAAGATTTGTTTACCTTAAAGATCTATTATCTGGAAAAATCAATTATTCAAAATTGCCGAAGTCCCAACAATTCCGTATTTGAGACTTTCCACTGTAATTCAAGTTATATATTTAAATTCTTCTTTATAATGATGTTTTTTATTTGTTATAATGCAACTTTAAAAATTAAATATTTGAGTTAATTATAGTTATAATTGAGTTAATTAATTGAGTTAAAAATTAAATATTCTTTTTAAACGTATATTAATACATAATTAAGCTGGTCGTGATTGACTCATTTAAATCTTGTTAAACTACATTAATATGAATTGATATATATAAATAAAAAAACAAGAAATTAATATATGTTATGGTTAATACTTTTTTAATTTATGCAATTCAATACTGATTTCAATCCATCTTACTACTGATCTTAAAAAGTGTGCCATTTTGGATGTATTTTACTTTAAATTACAGTCATGTTAACATTAGACGCATAACAATATTTTATATTTTAAAAAAATTGTGTCTTTAACAGGGGTTCACAGCCTATTGTCCACGAACCAAAAGTGGCCCACATAGCCTTTTAACATGGCTCTTGAGCAGTCTGATAGCATTAAGAAATTTTTTTTTTTTTAGCCATGTCCTGTAACACTAACTTACTGATCTGGTTCAAAGTGTGACTTTTTCTTTATAAAAGTTTGGTTTATGCATTGCAATGAAATATAATTTAATTACTAAAGAATTTATAAAATTAAACTTTAAAAAAAGAGAAAAAATTCTATAAGTTGATAAGATAAACAGAAAATATATTTAATTTGATCAACAATCATCACATTTATCTAATACTGTATTATTAACAACATGCCCGTTGGCTGAGTGGTAGTGCTTTGTGCTCTTGTGCCACAGGTCCTGGATTCAATCCTCGGGCCGGGCAAGGTTGACTCATGCCTTCCGTGGGTCGATAAATGAGTACCAAGCATGCTTGGGAACTAATTCCTCGTTCAGCTGACCACCTAACCGGAACATCTGCTCTTGCACCCCAGAGCCCAAGTCAAGAAAACTGAGATAGGCTCAGTAGGCCTTGGCCCTCTGTGGGCTATCGTGTCACTGAGTTTAATTTAGTTTAGTATTATTAACAAATTTTATTTTCTAAATAATAGTTAACTTTTACAGCGAAACTAAATTTATTTAATTTACCCTTTTTGTATTCCTATAAATTCACCATAATTTGCTTTGTAATCTAATAATTATTTGCATTATTTTTATTACCTGAACCAGAGCAAAAGATAAATTATGCATCTGTAACTCATTGATGTAACAGAGTCTAAATAATCACTGTATTTTTACAATTACTGAATTATGTTAATGCTGGTCCCCAACACTGTATTATAGTTTTGTGGCCTGCACTCCTGGTTTGTAGAAACATTGCTTAAGCATGGAAATCCAACAGGAACATAATATTAAGTTATGTTGGATTATCTTCAATAATCTAATGAGACAAAGACATTAAAATTTTTGTTTTCAAGTTAAATGGTTAGTTTAATTGGTGTCTTGAATGGATATATCTTAGGACAAAGTTTCTTTCTGATATCACATTCAAGCTGCAAAATTTCCTCGCACCAATCTGCCATTTGCGATCAAATAATTAAGACTGGTGAGTAAGTTCAATTCTTTTATTAAATGTTGAGTTTTTAATTAAACTATTTACACTTACATTATCGTGACTCAGTAAAATGATGTGAGGAAGTGTTTAGTTAACAAGCAGCAACATATTCCTTTTATTTTGATCAACCTCTTTTCACTTCTGAAACCATTGCTTCTTGTAACAGTGAAACCTTAAGACAGCTTTATTTTTATTTAATATCATTATCACTATAAAAATTGTTAGATTTCTAAGTTATTTCATGCTTTTATGATTTCAGTTGTAAAAATATTCGTACAACACCTGTTAGCATTTTAAAAATTTTTCGTAATATTTATCATGAAAGTTAAATAATGATTAGTAAAAATTTTAGACTGACTGGTATTCATGCCCTGGGTTATAACCTTGTAGAAAGTTTTTTCGCTGTGTTTCTTTCTTCCATTCCAAAAATGAAGTTATCTAAATTCAGCTGTATGAAAAAACTAACCGTAAGAGGGTATAATGCTTGTTCATTTAAAAAATGATTTTTAATTTTTTTTTTTTCTCCAGGTTTTGGTGGCTTACTTCTATTTACATCTGGTATAAACAAATACTTATAATTATTGTTCATTGAAAATGCTGTATTGATGTTAATTTAAAAAGAGACTTCTCTCTCTTTTCTTTTTTTTTTACTTTACAATATGATTTAAATCATAATTTGCTTCATATTATGGCTGTTTGTGATATAATTTTTTTTTTTTTTTTCAATTTGAAAAAATCGTTAATCACTGTGGAGAGTTTATTTCTGAATGGGGGTACTCTTTTTAACAGTCTGTTTGAAATATTTATATAATGACTATTATTTTCAGTATGGAAGGGGGAGAACTGTTTCAAAGAATCCAAGAGCGTGCAGAGGGAGCATTCACTGAGAGAGGTAATTGAAAAAATATGTGCTTCTTTGCTATTTAGTTAATTACATGTAAGTAATTTGAGGGGCTCAGGTTCATGATCTTCAGTCTATGCACAGCATACTCTTTCTTAATTTTTGAGTAACTAATTCAGTAAGCATGCTGACTTTTATTTTGTTAAATTATTGAAACAAGTAAAATGTACATTCTTCTTATTTAATGGAAATTAAAATTGTACAACAGTGTTGTGAAGACTTCTGAAATGTAATAGAGACTGCTGTATTTAAAGTGCTTTTCACATATTCTTTCGACCAAGCAGGTAAACCATTGGTTGGTTGTCATGTCCATGGACATTCTACTAGATGCACAGCAATTCTCCGCATAGAGGTCCTCTTCGGAACAATCGCTAATATGCTATGTTGCAGCCATGTGACTATGAAAACTTGTGTTGAGGCAGTTTTTACAGTTTGGCAAATTTTTTCGTCTTGATCCCGGACTTCTGACCCAGGCGAGTCATGAGAAAAAGGTTGCCATTGCCTAGAAAGGTTAAACTTCTGCCTGTTTGTCCACAGAAAGTATTTTTCCCTTTTACCACCCAAAGAAAAGCCAGTGGAGGAGGCGTTCCCTATTCACCTCCTGGGGATGTACCCTCAAGAGGCTTGTAGGCTCCACCGAGGGAGAAAAACTAATGAAAGCTAATTCACTTAAGCTTTTATTTGATCTCTCTTTTCAATCGATATCAATTCAAAATGATGTAAATTTCTTAAACAAAGTGAAAAAATAATATTTCAGTCATTAAGTAGTTAAGTTGTCTTTCATGAAATCCAAACTTACAAAAAAAGCATATATTCTATAAATAACCTTTTTAAAAATAAATATCATAATTCACTTGGTGTTGCTCACAAATTAAAAGAAGATTTATCATTTAAGTTTAATATCTAAGTTTTAAAAAAAAGTAATCTCTATGCAGTTCAAATACTGTATTAAAATTTTTTAAGGGCACATTTGGTAAATTGTCTATTACTTTAAAAATCTTCATTGTATGTTTGTGTAGTGAAAATTTCTGTGTTCTTTAGCTGTGTGGACTTCTTTAAAAAAATTTAAAAGTGCATAATTAAAATTATTATTTCAAATTGTGTAATTAAAATTATCTTTTCAAAGTTTGCAATTAAAATTATCTTCATCTTGTGCCAAGGTTGGCAAGTTTTTTCATATGACGCATTTAAACTTTTAACTTAATATTCAAAATACCACTATATGTATTGTTATTAGTAATTTTTTCTACAGATATTTAAATTAATTTTTTGTAGAAGCTGCAGAAATAATGAGAGAGATATGTCTAGCAGTTCAGCACTTACATAGAATGAATATTGCTCACCGAGATCTGAAAGTAATTTATCTTTTATGTTATTGTTGAATTAAAATTAAACTTTTGCATGAATATTTTACTTAGTGAAAAAAAAATTATCCTAAATTTTATTTTATTTCAAATATATATCTCGAGTACTAGGTAGTTGTTTATAATCATTAAACTTTTATAATTTCACTTTCAGCCAGAAAATTTGCTATATTCTAAAAAAGACCCTACTGGAATACTGAAATTGACAGATTTTGGATTTGCCAAAGAAACAACCAATTTCAATACTCTTCAAACACCTTGTTATACACCATATTATGTTGGTAAGGAAAATATATTTAAAAAAACATCAAGTTACATTGAAACAAAAAACAGCAAAAATATTTTAATATGAATATTTTTTTTTTTTTGAAGTTACAATTGCGTATGAAGTTTCATTGCATATGCACGTTCTTTTAAGTTTTTTTCTTGCATGATATTTTTTTAACTTTAAACAACATAGGAACAAAGATCAATTTTATCCTTTTGTTTTTATTATATGCTATATAAAATATGATTTAAATTTGAAGTGTATATGATGAATTATTTTGTTTTTCAAAATTCCTAATTATTTTTTTAAATGATTATAGCTCCTGAAGTGCTTGGGCCAGAAAAATATGATAAATCATGTGACATGTGGTCCTTGGGAGTAATTATGTACATTCTGTAAGTTTTCTCTTTTTAAGCTATTTGTATTTTTATTACGTTTACATTCAAATTGCTTCTTTTTGTATTTTTCTGAATGTGTAATGGATTTCTGATGAAAATTTAGACTAAAAATATTTAGATATAATTGGAAAACTTAGTCAGCAAAGGCATTAAAAAATATATACACTAGACTTCTGAAGAAAATTTAGATAAAAAGATTTTTAGCTATAATTAGGCAACTTAGTCAGTAAAGGCTTGAAAAAAAGATTTACACTGGCAAATAGTAAATTTTATTAGATGTTCCATAAATGAAATTATTATTTGTTTTCGTTGAGATATAATTGTTTTTATCAAAAATTAACTTCTATTCAGGGTTTCCAAAATATGTTTACTATTATTAGTATAAAATTTATGATGGAACTAAAATTTTTATTAAATACTTGTTGCAATATTGTTTTAAATTTTGAACAGAATATGTTCAGTGGGAGGAAGTATGCTAATAAAAAAAATTTTTTTATTGATATTTAGCGTTCATGCCGTTAGAATGACATGGCGACAAATGTCTCTAAAATCATGCGTAGTGGCAGCAACAAATTTGTTGTCTTGAAATTTTGCAATTTGCAAAATAGTAACAAAAAATAGTTTTTTGCATCGAATTACATGCATTTAAAAAATATTTGTTGTACAAATTTTATTGCTCTACGTGTGGAATGGAATTCAAATGTATGGAATAGAATATTAAATATAAAGTGTCTGTTGAAAAAGTTATTAAATTTACATGTTGTGCTGTGTTTTGCATTCATATACTGGCAGTAAAATTGTTCATTAGTATAATAATACATTTTGCTCTTTTAGAATTGACTTTATTTGAAAATTTATAATTTTTTCAATTAATTTTTAATATAATATTTTGTTAGTTTTTATGCTTTCTCTGTTTTCTTCATTTAGTTTTTTTGGTCTCTGCATTTTAATCTTCATGTTGAATCTATTTACTAATACAGTAGAGAACCAATTATCCGGGATGCTCGGGACCATCGCTATCCCGGATATCTGAATTTCCCGGTTTTCTGGATCGACCAAAAAGTGTCGTTAATCGATGTTTTATCGAACCCTCATGCACATATCCTAATCATATTTGGAAAGATTTCTGTATCGTGATCTGTTGCAGAATAATCGCCAAGTTTTGGCGGCTATTGAGCAATGGCCTTAGAGAAACTAAAAATAAGAAAAATCACAGAAAGTGACCAACTTGAATCGTATCCACCCCCAGGCAAGCACCTACTTGTTTTTTTAAAGTTCAAAATCTATTTGGCACTTTGATTTGGTGATTGTAGTTGGCCCTACAGATAACGATAAGGAAATATCCCCTTATATTTTTTTTAGAAATGAAGAGTTTAAGAATCTTTCATGAGTGCTCAAGAANCGCGAAAAGAAAAAAAATCAAACGTAGTGGAATCAGAAAAACAAAACTGTAATCTGCTTCATAAAATAATCCTATGTTTAAATTAATAAACAATTCTCCTTTTATTTTATTTTTTTTTGTTGATAAAAACAAGATTATTAATTACAACAGATGTAATTCCACACCAAAAAAAACTTGCAATTGATACCGCACTTCCAAAGAATGAGAATTTATTCAAAAGAAAAAGATTTTATTTTTATTAGTCGAGGACGTCAAATAAATATATTTTTCTCTTTTCTTTTTCTGTTCATTGATATGCATGCAATGCATTTTCCCCACCCCCCTCGTAAATCAAGCAGAAGAAGAAATCAGCATGCCACACCCTTGAGTTTGATTGACGGCCTAAAGGGAAAAATAAAACATTCCTCCCTTCCCTGCCTTCAAGGTCACGGAGGAAATGACGTTTCTCTGGGTTAAAGGGGGAAAAAATTTCCCCCTTCCTTACATTTTCCTCTACTCAACTTCAAGGATGAGTCCAATTTCCGCTTTTTTCGTTCTAGTTTAAAATCGTTCTAGTTTAAAATGGCGGGAAAATCAAGCAAAATTTTTCCCGGTTTTCTGGTTTCCCGGTTATCTGGATACCGGATAAATGGTTCTCTACTGTAATAATTTTTGATTTTTTACTCTTTATTTTAATAACTACCAATGTCCGATTATAGGCTAATGAACCTAATTTGTTTTAGGATGTATAATATTAGTTATAGGGTCAAATTATTTTTAGGGGATGACAGTAAATAATTTTTGTGTACCATTAACAATTGTAAAGTTTGATTTTCTCAAGTTTGTCATATTAATATTTTGGACCACTAAATAAATGCCTAGGTGTTCCTGTTGAACAACTAAATTTTCATTGCAATTCACCCTATGGATATATTTAAATTTTAAAAAATCTGCTAGGTGGAAAATATTTTCTTTCGAAAAAAGACCCTTTTGTCATCCATCGAATAAAAAAAGCTGTATTTTCTCTAGGTACTAAAAAATAAATCTATAGAAGTTTAAGTCCTGAGATAGTCTAAGAAAATATCACTTTTAAAATTATATTGGAATTATTTTTATTGCATAGGATAATTTAATGTTTAAGCAATATAAATTATTAAATTTTATTTAAAAAAAATAAATAATTACTCGTCCTTTTAGATTGCTCCCACACCTAAATGCATTTGTCATTAAATTTTTTTTCTTCAATAAATGCAATGGACAGAATTTTTGAGTTCAACACTATCAAGAATCCTGTTATTCATCGTCCTAATGTCAAACAACAAGATTAAATATATCCTCAATTTTTATTACATTCTCTGAATTATTTTTTCTTCTCAATCGGATATTGTCTATCAGATTTTTGTATAATTTTACGTACATTGACTCCACAAATAGTAATGATTTATATGCATTTTTAATTGCATAAAAAATGCTGCTATACAGTAAATGAAATTTAAATTCCTATATTTGCAGACTTTGTGGATTTCCTCCATTTTATAGTAATCATGGGTTAGCCATATCTCCTGGAATGAAAAGGCGAATACGAGCTGGACAATATGATTTCCCTAACCCAGAGTGGGAAAATGTTTCAAATGATGGTATGTGCAACATTGCTGAGTGAATCATGTCTTTTGTGAAATATTTTTTAATAGTTTGTAAATAAATTTATACAAAGCTATTTTTTTTACCCAATTAAAGTGTGCCTAATATTTTATTTCTTAGATGTATTTGTAAAATTTCCTTTTTATTTCCAAAATAATTCTTGCTAATCTGTGTTTCAATGAAAAATGCATTTTAAAACTGAGAAACTAACAATGTGGTAATCTTTAAATTTTGTAACCTTATCCTCTCTGACCTCTGCAACAGCTATGATATTTGACTATTTTAAAAGTGCCTTATTTTCTTTCTTTCATATAATTATTAATACTGATACTCTAATGGACGTATTTTGTAAAATATTAACAATCTATCTAATCTTTCCTTCAGCCAAAGAACTTATTCGCGGACTACTTAGAACAGATCCAGCTAAGCGGTTAAGTATTGAAGAAGTTATGAACAACAAGTGGATTGCCGTAAGTAGTTTATCCCCTTTAAAAAATTATAAATGAATATAATCCACATTTTAATTTTTTGACTCGTGTGGTCTCAAAAGCTTTGGGAAATGTGTCAAGCAGTTGATCTCTTCAATGTTATCTTTACTTTTTGCATATTTCTGATGAAATACTGCTCTTTATTGCAAAAATATGGTGTAGAAATTTTTTGGGTAAAGGGATGCATTTTTCTGGAAAACCTGTTAAGTCAAAAATTAAGCACCATTGATTTTCATCTAGACTTAGTTTTTATTGGTAGAAATAAAATCCTCTTGCCTATTGATCGTCAAGTGCTAGTCACTAAATATTTTGGTGATCACCTGATTGTCCTTAAAAACAGTAATAAACATTTTCTAAATCACATTTAAGAAAAAAAGTATACTTTTAACTTTTTCTTCCTTTAATTGTAACAAAAGAAAAATATTATTTTGTTGGTGACCACTATATGAATGTTAGAAATGCACTGGGTCCTAAAATTTTGCAGGGTTAAGGTTCCTAGTGGAAATAGTCTTGTACTCATTCCCTATAGTGGCCAAACTTTTTTTTGTTTCCCGGCCAGGTATTATGACATTTATGCAAAATAATATAAAAAATTTCTATTGGACGTACACAGAATATTGTTTTAAATAAATTAAAAAGTTGTTTAAGTGTAGAAAGATTAACAAAACACTTTGCTCCGAAGAGGAGACATCCTGTTAATAGTGGGCTTTATAATAAATTAATTTTTAGCCTCACTGTAACGTAAATGTATACCTAACATGGGAACAGGGGGGGGCAGATGTATTTTGCAATTTTATTCAGAAATTCATAATTTTTTAGAATTGCTGTAATAGTCTTTATGGTATAAAGATGTAAATTTAGACATTATCTGTTATAGATGTGCCTATACTGTCTGGGAAGAACGATCTTAGTCCCAGAATTTATACCTAGCAGTTATGTGAAAAACTTAGTCCTCTAGGCGTGTCATTAAAAAATGTAGCTGAAACAATGAAACCAACAGAGGAAAGTGTAAACAGATATGACAATACTTTTAAAAATTAAATACAAGTTAGTGTAAGGGAAATCGTGTATAGTACACATACTGGTACTGTGTATTTCAAATAATGTGCGGTGTATTAATTGTTACGATAAATATGAAAAAAGTTCAAATAGATCAAGTTAATGTCATAAATTTTCAGTTCTTTAAATAGTAAGGGTTTTTCATCCTTTTTCGTAATCTATAACTATTGAAATTTATAAAAAATAGAAATTCAGTTATCTGAACAAAAAAAATTTAAGTCTAATTGAAAAAGTCAAAATTTTCCATTTTTGACCAAGTCTCTAAAATATCTAATAAATTAGTTTTACAACATTTTGTAAATATTTATTTTAAATCTAAACTGGAAAAATCTAGGAAGGGTCTTACGAGTCCCTTAGAACTTTTTAAATATTCAGTCATTCAATATATAAAAGTTATATTTCTGAACTGTATTAAAATTTCAATCAATATCAAATTTCTAACATTAAGCTTTTCTTTTAGCAATTCACTGAAGTACCACAAACACCTCTTCATTCTGTGCGAGTACTTAAGGAGGAGGAATATGCATGGCCAGATGTCCAAGTAAGTAACGTTAAAATAAAACTTATCAAATTATTTCATTTTTAGCTTTGATTTTTGGTGTTTTAAAATGATTTATTTTCTATATTACTAAAGCATAAACTTTAAAAAGTAGCATGACATTGACATTTTTCCATTTTGAGTTTATGAGTAACTCTGTGTAAACATGCTAAGTAGGATATTTAATTTGTTTCTGTGGAAAAAATGATAAGTTATTTGTTCAGTATATAATTTGAAGATGTTATCTCATAAGTTTGCAGGGTGACCACTCAACTGGAATGCCTGGAATTATCAGGGAATTTTTTTACTTTGGACAAAAACCTAGAAAAGTCAGGGAAATTCGGAAAAATCTGGGTTATTTTTTAATTTAGTTATTTTACTATCTATTATGCCCACTTTTTCTTAAACGGAAATTTGTCGCCAAACGATCGAAATATCGCAAACTTGGCAATACTTTAGCATCATAACATGCTCCATAATAATCCTGTTTAACTAGATAAGAACACCACATGAAACTCTTCCATGGACACTACCTCTTTGAGACTATGCATTCGGGAAAAGCAAAGAATGTGATAAGGTTGGTAGAAGGGGTTAAGATATTTGTTCCAGATTATAAAAACAGGGGATTTTCTTTTTTGTCTTCTAGTTTGTGGGTCAAATCCATTTATTATTCAAGTTCGTTCCAATGTTTTGTGGTTTTTTTTCTTTTGATAAAATTATTCAAAATATTTTAGTATTTTTAATGTTTATAAAGTTCTCCAGAAATGATTAGGTCATAACAAACGATTTTATTTCACACTCTTTTTCTGAAAGAATAAGAGAATACTTTGCTTGAATCCAATTGCTTAATTATTTTTTTCTTCACCAAGCCAACTGATCACACATCTTCTAACGATCGCTAACAGCAATTCTTGTAGACCAAATGTTGAATCCACACTTTTTTTTAAATTTAATTTTAACCTTTTAAATCATATTTTAGTTTTTAAAAAAAGGTTATTTTGAGCTCCATTATTATTATTTTTTTTTTAAGGTTATTTTAATATCCAATTGTATGTTGATAACATTAAATTTTATTATTTTGCTGGTAAATATTTGATTTTCGATTCAAAATTCGAATCGTGCAATCAGTCACAATGTTGAAACTTTGTAATTGTTGCTTGCAGAGATGATATTTCTGAAACTCATAACTGAATACTCAAATTTTTAAATTTCAAAGCAGATTTAGCAAAGCAAAAATGAGGTATTGATGGATGCAAAGATAGACAAAGCAAAGATATTGATGTATAATTGCATGGAATTTTCTTTTGCTTTATAAAAATATATTAAACAATGCATATCCAAGATTTTTTGGGTTCTCTATATTTTCCATTTGGTACACTTTGGGCAAAAACTATTTGAAGTAACAAATTAAAATATTTTTCTTTCTATAAAAACAATATGTTCCATAAGCTAAACATATTATTTTCTCAACATCTATCTTAATTTTTTAAAAATTAATGTTGTACCCAAATTTTGAAAAATGAAAAAAAAATGAAAAATCTTGATAAGTTGTTAAAATAATTCTACTCTAATTAATTTTTCCTGATTATATGTTAGAAAATTACATTTTAAAAGAAATACCTTAGAATATTGACACGTTTTTGGGTGGTTAAAAAACTATCCTACACTTTGTGAGAGAAAAGCATGGTAACCTAGAAAATTTAAGATTTGACCTGAAAAAAAGAAAAATTCGAATCCATCCATTGAATGGCCATCCTGGTTTGAAATATTATTTGAAGTAAACATTTTTATCAATTTTTAAATCTTTGAAATCTAATTTCTTACTTGCAACTCTTTTCAACTTCATATACAAAAAACCTTATTTCTGACTCTCCCCCCCCCCCCCCCNGCCCCCCCCCCCCCCCCCATGTGGTGGACTTTTTTGATTTAAAAATCAATCACAGTTTGTTTTTATGCAGAATCACACAGTTTCATCTATAAAACAGAAGAAAAAAATTCAAATTTGTTTAGTATTTTCTTAAGGCATATTTTTATAAAATTTGTCTTAACATTTAATTTATTATTGTTATAGGAAGAAATGACTAGATCTTTAGCAACGATGAGAGTTGATTATGATACTGTTCACTTGAAAAATCTGGATAAGACTAATAATTCTCTTCTTAACAAGCGAAGACAGCATCCAAAATGAAATGTGCCATTGAAAATTGTGAACTTATTGCGTCTTCTTCATTATGTCATTTTAATGGTTGTATCTATTCAATTACAAGTTTATAGTAATTATAATTGCAGTGTTGTGCTTTTGCTAATCCCTTTAGAGGATCTTCCATTATTCAAAATCTAAATACATGTAGTATCTGTACAATCCGAATTATGTAGGAATTTAATTGAGACTAGCTATTAATTAAATACATGGTGTTTAAATTTTGGATTTTGTTTGTTACTTAATTTATTTGTTTTATTTTATAGATTTTAGAGTTTGTTCAAAATTTTAATGTTATATCGTAAGTATTTTTAGTATTGCTCAAGTCTGTTTTCTATTTCATCATTCCAGCTTTAGTTAAAAATTGAAGACTATTTCTAGAAACAATCTGCCTATAAAATATTTAATTAAAATAGTTTACCTTGTGACTTTAATTAATTTCTGTTATGTTTTGATTCTATGGTGTCTTTCTGACTATGTGTTAAAGTAAAAAAAAAACACATACTCTTCAGATCTTATTTGTTACTTTAATTGAATGTTTTATTATTATTTTAATTTAACTTTTGAAATAACTGTACTATTCTGTGCCTTAAAAGGAAAGGGTTATTTACCCTGTTATAATGTGCTATAAAAACTTAGTAATCACTTGTTAAACACACTGCCACACTCTATTGATTAGAATAATTTTATATTTAGAATCACTTCGGATGTTTTTAATTTTTATTATTGAAATGAATTGACTTCAAGATTACTTGATTTTTAATTTAATGTTTTAAAACTTGAAATCTTTGGAACTTATCTGACACATTTTAGTGCAATTTTTATTATTATTATTATTTTTCAAGACTCTGTTTAATTATAAATAAATTACAATTTTTTGTAAAGATATTTTTCCTGGCTATTGCATTATTATTAATCTTATTTGGTTACTCACCATAAGATGTTCAATAAATCTATTTCCATATTATCTATGTAATGTAAAAGCTACAAAATACTCTCTCCATATTTAATCAAGTCTATTTTATCTAAATATTTGAACATTATACTTCTTTTAAGAGTTAATTGTAGTTAAATTATTTTTTGACTGAACTTTTTCAATTTTTTAGTTTAAATTTTTTCTGATCGTTTATTTAATTCTTTACAGTACATATATTTATAAATATTGTATTGTTTCTCGTTGTGCAAATTTGATTTGTACATAATAGTTTATTTGAATTAGAACAAATACTTTTGTGTTTACTTAAATATCAATTTATTGTTAATGTAAATATTATCTTATTGTATTGTTATTTTATGCGTCTTTTTTGAGACACAAGATTATATTAAAGTCTTTACTATTAAGAGAGCATAGATAAGTTCATGTGTATTACTTTAAAAATGTACAATGCTAAACTGAGCAATATCTGCAAAACATTTCTTTGCGCTAAACCATTTTGCCTTGGAAATTTTTATACATTTTATTAGTCGTAGATATATGCATTGCCTTTTCTTATTGACAATCGTGAATTTATACTATCATGTTTGCTGTTGTCAGTGTTGTTTTTGTTAAAAATTTGTTATGCAAGTACAATTGAACAGCTTATCCTAGCATTAGTTATCCATGTCTTTTAATTTTATTTAATGCCGGTGGTGGGCAGCACGTAGCTAATATACAGGTTTTAAATATTCAACTCTATTGCTGATTTCTTTAAAATTTACTTTGAATATTTCATACCACCAATCATTAATTTTACTACCAACTTGCACTTTTATACCTAGACGCATGATCTTTAAGATCAGTAGTAAGCTCGTCATTCTGTTTATAAAGTTACAAAGTATACCTCAATTTTTGAACCATTATAAAAATTTTCCATTTAAAAAGTCAACGGGTGTGTAGTATTTTTGCTCTTCCACCTAAAATCTATATTAAATAAAATATATAGATATCTTATTTGTAATAAAGAATTCAAAATGCATAATACACACTACTATAATTTTTTTTTCCATGGTACTTTCAACAACAAATGAGTATATCACATTTCTCTTCACTAAACATGTTTTTCTGGTGTCCAATACTTCAAAGTAGTGTTCCTTCACTTAAAACAAGGATACCAGAATATCAAATTTTAGCTAATTCAAATTAAGTTAAAATCTCTTTTTAGTTTAAATGGAATTAAGAACTACACTGTTTCTTGTGCAATAAATACACTGATTCCTATTTTTTAAAATTGTAATCTTGATTGATTTTTTGATGTCTATTAAAGTTTACGTATTTTTAACTATTTAAAGAGATTTTTCTTCAGACTTACTATATTTTTCCTCTTTTTATGTATTAAAAATTATTTAAATTCATGTTACTGGTGAATAAGTGTTTGTGACAATTTTTATAGTTAAATTTTAATTATTTTCTTCTTTACTCTCTTTTTTTATTGATAGTTAATCTTATCTCTGTCTGTGAACAACGAATATTGTGGAGGTTTTTTTTAATTACTTTATAAATGTTGTATAAATTATGAATGGTGTTTTGATTTAACCCTAGATAACTAAACTTAAATTTGTAATATTCTGTAGTTAATCATTCAACTTTACAACCATGAATTTAAAAAATATTTATTTTTATATTTTCTTTTTTTATGTCTAACAAATTGAATTTATTTCATCCAATTCTCATTAAATTATTCTTTAATTTTCTTTCAACTATAGAAAGACAATAAAATTTAAAGTTGGCACTCTTTAAAGATATCGAAGCATAATCATAACTACTAGACTTCACAGAACTGGCAAAGATCATAAATTTATTTAACAAATGTTTAGTTACCTAGTGTTAAATTATGTTTTTGTGCTATTTCGATGTAATCACTTGTTGACTTTCATTACACTACCACTGTAAATTGGTTGCTGACTAGTTGATCAAAATTAGTATTTTTTATTTTACTGTAATTTCCTACATCCTGCTGTTGTAAGAACAGTAGCTTTTTGTTATATTGCTCTTGTTGTGGACAACAAAAAGCATGATATATCTACGAAACTCATTATGAAATAACAAAAACTTTTATCTTTAAATATATTTTTACTATGCGCTAAGCTGTTATTATAAAGAACTGGGTTCGATTCTCAATGGCTTCTTGAAACCTAACCAACTTCAGATCAAATGGTACAAAGTAAGGGCAAACTGTTGAAATTTGAGGATGAAAAAACTGTCAATAACCTGGGACAAAAAAAAAAAATTTCTATTGAGAACAATTTTTAGTTTAATCACTGCTTATTAACTGTTTGAGTCATGTACAATACTTGCCCTTCTAATTCTATAATTATGATTCCTATTATATATCATGTATAAATAAAATATAATATAAAAGTATAGCATGTAAAATATAATATAAAAATATAGCCAACATTATTAACTATTTTTTCAAAAAGCATAGCAAACAAATTATTTATACTTTAAGATCATTAACATTTAATATATTTTATATAGTATTTTGTTTACATTACAGATAACTATGAGTTGTTAATTGTTAGTATTCTGGATTTTGATTTTAATTTTATTAGTTTAAGTAAAACAAAAGTCGTCGTTTTTTTAAACAAAAAAACATTTCTTTTGAACAAATCACAATAATACAGCAAAAAACTTAAAATGGAGCTTAAATGATACCTTTAAGCCCAAGAAATTGGCATTTTTTGTGACCAATGACAAGATAGTTTGGTAGAAACCTTTTAAAGAAACTGAGATGAAAATGCAAAAATAGTCTTCATGTCTTACAAATTTTAAATGTCGGATATAGGTTGTTCACATCATATATCTGCAAAGTTATATTTTATAATAATCACCCTGTACGTTAACATTATAAATCATGATTATACTATATTTCTCGATAAGTAAACTAATTATATTTTATCAAAAATACAAATGTTTGTTAAAATTAATTCATTCTTCCTCCCAATCAGTCCAAGTGTTTAATTGAATTATTCTCAATATTTAGAGTACAATTATTAAAATAAATTTTCTAATACATGTTAATTTTAGTATGGTGTAATAGGTTTAATCTAATTATGCAAAGCGATTAACATTTATAAAAGATTATAGTTTTCTATACCTTAATTTTGGTTTTGCGACATTAATTGTAAAAGCAAATGAGGGGTATAATGTCAAAATGATTAACGAACATATAAGATTGATCCCTTAAAAAGTACTTTTTCAAAATTACTTTATTTTTTATAATAGCTAATAATCATTTTCTACACCAAAATTTAGCAGGTTTTGATACTTAACTATGTCAAAGAAGAGTTTTTGATATAATGGTTAAAGCCATGAATAGTCCAAAACTGACTATCCCTGTCCCTGTGTAATGCTGACCACATTTCCACAATCATGTCTTTGGTGTTGAAATTATAGACCCTTAATCTCAATGATTCCTCATCCTGGCTCCCAGCGGGCTGTTGCATGAATACTTTACTGCTAATGAAAATAATGATTAAAAAAAAAAAACATTTATTTGTATTACTTTCTTATATAGTATTTAGAAAAGCAACAAAATACTCTTTTTGAATAAAAATTATTTTTAAAATATTTTTTTTTTATTTATTGCTATACTCTTAAAATGTAGTGAAAATTCCAGTGTCATGGCATAAAAAAATTTCTTGCACCTTAAATTGCGATGAGAAGAATATAAATGCATTTGATAGCTAGCAAATGCTGTTCATGTTTGTTGCACTACGGCACTAAAAAAAATAAAGTTCAGTGACCGCTTGCATGGATTTAGTGCTATCTTATATGAAAGGAAATGCTAATCATTGATTTTATTTTTTTGAGGGGGATTCTTGTTTTTCTAACGCTCTGGTAGACTTTTTTCCATGTGACCAAAATAGAGTGATGTGTCCAAATGTGCAATATAATAAGGGGCTTCTGTAAAGTTTTTTATTGTTATTTTGAATGAAATTATATAAATAAAATTGATCTTTTAAAGATCATCCTTATAATAATTAGGAATCTTTTCAGTTGTAGAATGTAGGGTTCCTATGGTACTGATTGTAGAATCCTCTCTCTGTACTAAAAATATATTTTGTATATGATTTAGCAAATGTCAAGAATGAATAAATAAAATATTTTTCTTTTCTCATGATTATTTCCATACTTAAGTTACTCGCAAGCTAACTTAATTTAGGGGTCAGTAGTTTTCTTTGTAAACATTGACTTCGATTTTAAATATTCATTTACATTACAAATTTTATTTAGTAAATGTAATCGAACTCACTGTTTATATGATTCAACCATCAGATAAAGATAAAAAAAAAAATTTGTCTTTTGATCAATGATTATGATGATTTTTTTATCAATGATTTTTAATCGATGATTTTTGACAATGATTTTTAATCGATGATTTTTTTTTTTAAATTTTGATTGCATGAATTTTTATTTTTTGTATTCATAACTACTTAGATTTTATTGTGTAAGATTATTCTATATGAAATTCATTCTGGAAAAAAAAATTACTGGTTAATATCAGCGAATGTTGCACGAAGTTGAAAAAAAATATCAATTGTAATTACATACTGCAGAAAATTATATTAATTTTTAAAAAATAAAAATTACTACTATTAAGAGGCAGCGTAAGTAACACAAAGTTGAACGTTTAACTTGTGGAAGTGTTTTATCTCTTTATATTTACAAAAATAACAGCCTCCATCATTTCAATATCATAATTCATAAACTACTAAATGAAACAATGATATTTTGCACATTTCTAGAGAAATGAATCTGATATAGCATAATTATACAGTGGGCCACTCTGAATAACTTTTGATCTAATGATTGAATCTTTCCGTTCTAAGACTCAATCTTAAAGGTTCGAGAGGGTGACTTCGAATAGGCTAATTAATTTGTGCAGATGATATTTTAAATAGCGACACAAAAGCGTATTTTCTTTTGACTAAACAAACCTTTTTTTCGATGGATTCGTATTTCTGACTCCCAAAATACGGCCCCCATAGCTTGGTCAGGAGAGCGGTCCAAGTTTGGACCCCTTAACCAGGGCCGTAACTACGTTGGGGCACCGCCCGGATGGTCAAGGGGGGCCCATATGAAGGGACCACATCCCGTTTTTTCAAAATTAAGTACTCAAATTATATAAGTATATGTAGGAAAGAAATTGTGTTAGGATAGAATTGATGAAAATTTTCTTTTTTGTAATTGCATATCTACTTTAACATAAAGGGAAGGGTAAGAAACGGTAAAAGACCTTTTCCGAGAATTATTTCCATTTCTTAAAAGAACAAATGCTTCACAGAGAAAGGAAAGGCCACAGCTGCATGTAGTTGATTGTTAACACTTTCAGTATATTGCACTTCTGGCAGCAGCTACCTCTTCAGCAATTGCTTAGTTGTTTCCTCTACTATCTAGGGTCAGACCCAGTAGCGTGCCAGCCGGGGGGAGGCAGAGGGCCCCTCTAAAATTTAAGTGATGGGGCAAACACTGTGTTTCCCCCAGTGGCGTATCGAGCCCGGGGCACAATACCCTTTTAGCGCCCCCCATTCGAAAACCATGTAATATTATATGTAAAATAAACTCGCAAATTAATAAATAAAGTCATAGACTCAAGCTAGGCTTTAAATTTGAGACAAAAAATGTAATTGAGAGAACAAGACTAGATTTTGAAATGTATATGATCATCTAGAATTAGTTCAAAAGATACCTATTATTTATTTTACATATTTATAAAGAAATATTTTAAAAACACGCAGTTTTAAAACAATAAAAAAGTAAATATTTATTATCTCTAAGGAGATACATATATTTAATAATAATATGATTATAATACATTAATAAAACTAATTACTATGTCTAAATTTTCCGTGCTTTTGATGAAGCAAATGTATCAATAATATCATCAAAATTGATCATTTAAAATTTTTCTCTTTCCACACTTAAAAATGCTAGGTCACTTAGGCGATCTGTCAAAATTAATTTTAATTTGCTGAATGAACGTTCGCAGCTAGCAATTGATACTGAGATAGTCAGGAGTATTTGAAATGCCGCTCTCAGATTTGGAAAAACATCTTCTCCATTCGAGATTGATTATAAAAGTAAGAAATTCTAATGGAGTTTTAGGTTTAATTTCTTTTCTACTGCGGAGTAACATTTTGCTGTCACATATTTTGATAAAAAGTTCTATTACATTGAAATCTGTATTATAAAATTCACCCAGATTTTTAAAATTTTTTTTCAAGGTCGTTATCAACATTATCCTTGTTTAATAAATTTTCAACGTCTAGTAGAAATCCAAATTTGAAATTAAGGTCACTTAATCGTGTACACATTTCTTGTTGGAGACGATCAAGAGTGCTTTTCATAACGCGAGAAATTTCACTTTCTGCGGAAAGACCACCATAGCCAATTCTCCAGGCACGTATTGTTGTATCCATATCCCATTTTTCACAAAGAGACTCTGCTTTTTCTATTGCCTCTTTACAGAGCTTGTCTCAAATTTCGGCTAGTTCAGTCGCTAATGATTCAAGATCATGGAACACTTCTCTAAAATTCATTCTAGGATCTTGTAATCTGAGCTGCACACGATCAATCCTTCTTAAGATTTCATACCAGAAATGAACTAAAGTTATAAAACTAAAGGTTAGTATATTTTGCAACAGAATTGTAGCTTCACTTCTGTTGTCACTTGTAGTGGTAGTGTGCTCTGCTAATTTTTCTATTAGTTCTTTTATATTCTCTAGCCCATAGATGATAACGATAACCGCTTGTATTCTGGCGCTCCATCGCGTTTCAGATGTGTGACCTGCCATCACGGCAGCATTATCGTAACATTGTGATCTGCAGTTTGTTAATGAAATTTCATCGTAATTTAATTTCTCTAAAATTGTATTTTCGATCGAGGCTGCATCTTTAGCATGTATTTCAATAAAACTCAAAAAAGATTCTTTGATGGAAACTTTTTTATTGATAAAATCAGCATCTACATACCTAGCGACTTGGGACATTTGTTCTCGATGAGAGATATCAGGAGTTGAATCAAACAAAAGTCCATAATATTTATTTCTTTTGATATCGTTTATTAGTTGATTTCGAACTGTAGATGCCAGAAGATGAATGAATTCATTTTGAATCTGTGGTGACAAATATGAGAACAACAAATTTTTCTGTTAACAAATTTTTTCATACTCTATTCACTTAATAATAGAATCGTCGAGTAGATGTAGTAAGTAATCTTATTTGATTTATTACTTACCAAGAATGCCTTGAACTTGAAAGGTAGTAACATAGTGAAATATACAATATAATTTATGCTGACATTAAACTTATATATAACATTTAATATTTAATAACATTTCATTTTTATTCTAAGCAGAGCGCGATGACAAGGACGTGAATTAAATATTGAAATATATTTAATATGAATATGAATTTAATATAATATTTAATATGAATTAAATATTATGAATAATATTTATGAATTAACATTTATTATATTACACTGGCACTAATTTAAAATATATTTTCCAGAAATCAATTATAATAAAAAAAAATTATCCAGCAATTTTTTGTTTTGCGGACCATTTGGCGCCCCTTTGTGAGTAGCGCCCGGGGTATGATGCCCCCCCTTGCCCACCCCTCGCTACGCTACTGGTTTCCCCCCTCCTGAAATTTAGACACTCACAAAAATAAAATCAAGTAAAATCAATACTTAAAAAAAAATTTTTTTTTCAATTTTGAAGCTATTTTTCAAATAGATAACTTCAATAGATATTCCTCTAAAATTTCAGTGGGCTGTCGACTAATGTGTTTTGCCCCTTCTGATATTTAGTCATTCGCCTTAAGTTAAGTCAAATAAGTACAGTACAGAACCCGTTATCCGGAAATCAGAAAACCGGAACGAAATTCGTCTTACCCTCATTTTGGAAATAATCATTAGTGTATTACTTCATCGTTTCTTCTTCTTTTTAAGATTATTTCCAAATATTTTTTTTTCAGTTGGGTTTAACAATAAAAAAACTGCTTTTTGTAGCGATTCAGAAAACCGGAAAAATCAGTTATCCGGAATAGCGATGGTCCCGACCGTTCCGGATAATCGATTCCCTACTGTATTTTTAGAGAAAGAAAAAAAACTATTCTTTCTCAACTTTGAAGCTACTACACAAGCACCAAGAATACACTAAGAGCGAATCTTTATTTTGTTATGAGTGATTGTGTTTTTTGACACTTGGAAATGTAAAATAAAAGTAGAAAAATATTTTCTTTCCAATTTTGACCCGATTTTCTTCCGAAATAGTAATGAGGAGGGAGGGGCGAGCAAAGTGTTTCGCCCCTTCTGCAATTTCAACGTGCTCAAAAATAATCAAAATTGGTAATTTTAAAAAATTTCATCTTTGAATCTATTTTCGATATAGAAAATGTTATTTCCCTCTGAAATAAAAGTGAGGGGGTGAAAAATCTGCTTCGCATCTTCTGAAATTTAAACATTAATAGAATAAAATCAAGTAAAGTTGAAAATTTTAGAAGAAAAAGAAATATTGTTGTTTTAAAACTTGGTCGATATTTTCCAAATAGAGAATTTCATTTTCCTCTTAACTTATAGTGAGGGGGTAGAAAACTCTTTTTTTCTCTTTTCTGATATAAAAGTAAGGGGGGCAAAAATGTGCTTTGTATCTTCTGAAATTTTAACATTTGCAATAATAAAGTCAAGTAAAATCGGTTATTTTAAAAAAAAAAAAAAAAAAAAAAAATTTGAAGCTATTTTCCAAAAAGAAAATTTTATTTTCCTCTTAAATTAAAGTGATGGGGCGAAGAATATACTTCACCCTTTATGAAATTCAGACATTCGCAAAAGTAAAGTAAAATTAATATTTAACTCTTATTTTCGACTTTAGAGCTATTTTCTAAATCGAAAACTTTTATTTTCCTCAGAAATTTAATTGAGAAGGAAGATAATGTTCTGAATACCCTTCTGAAAGTTTGATATTCGCTACAATAAAGTAAAATAGAATTGGTAATTTCAGAAAAAGAAACTATTTTTTTTCTAATTTACTAGCTATTTTCCGAATTGAAATAGAACCCCCCCCTCCCCGAGAAAAATACTTCTGTTTTGCTTCAATTTTTTTCTATGACAAC